TAGCTCCGGGAAAACACTGAGTGACCGCGTTAAAAAAGCGGACGTGTCTCACGATGGAATCTCCAACAATCAAAGTAGTCGGGGCGAAGAGTGGACGTAGCCGCGGAGAGGGCGCTCGGTGTCCATGGCCAGAACCAGCGGGCTCATCCAGGGATGAGTCCGAACCAGGGCGCTGCTGAACACATGGAGGGGAGCGGGGGTGTTGATTCTCAGCTCCGGGCAACCCACGCTGTGTGCTCGGGGACGCTGGAGCGGCGAGAGGAGCAGGCTCGGGTCGCTGCTGTTGACCCGGTGAAGGTAAGCGGTGGTGATGCACTGGGGTCAGAGAAGGGGAATGACCACTCTTTCGTCTGAGGACGGCTTCCTTTAGGAGCGTTTTTCTCGCAGTGGACTTAGATCCACGAACGGCAGAGTACGCTGCAGAGTCCAGAGGTTCTGCTGAGGGGGCTGGGATGTCAGCGGAGAGGGCTGCATAGCGGTTTGACAGGCTCAGGACATGGGCCACGGCGCTGGATGGCTCCTCGCAGTTCGCGGGTTCCTCATTCGGAACCGGGCGCTTAGGTGTAGAACAGGAGGGTCCAGAGCTGACAGACCTCTCCCACACGACAGTGTCACAGTATGCAGCGCTCAGTGACATAAGTCGTGAGTGCTGCCCGCCAGCGACATCAAAGAGTTTGGACACGAGTAATTGTTTTTCCTGTAGTTCTGCAGTGAGGCGAAGGACTTCTTTACGGAGGTCTGCAATAGTGGCACGGTCCCTCTCACGAAACTCCAATGTGAGGCGACTAATGTCGTTTATAGGGTTTGTGGTTATTGCAGTGTCGCGTTCCATGTCTGTGTAGGTTTAATAAAAGCTCATGACGTGGTGCCCTCGTGGTAGCCTCCGAGCTAGCACGTTTTCAGCAACACATCTTCATTGTCTCAGTTTGCTCTGGGCTCCAATTCACAATTCTCAAGAGCTTGTGAAGAAGTTTCAATAAAAAATACATTAAACTGTAACTTTAAAAAGAATTAAAAGCAGTAAAAAATCCATAAAAACGAGTTAGTCCAGAGAGAGACACTGAGCAACTGTCTGTCTCCTATATATCATATTGTACTGCTTCTTTTTATGCTAAAGTTAGAGATTGTATTTTATTTTAGATTTTATTTTATTCTATTTCAGTATAGGGTTACTATTCATTGATCTTGTGCTGTGTTCTCCTCATTCCTATACTGTTCTAAAACACTGACATTTCCCCACTTAGGGATTAATAAAGAATCTCTTAATGTTAAACTTTCTCCTCCCCTCTTTCTTCTTAAATCAAGTCAAATGATAGACAGTTGAAAAAGCGTTTCTTGACTTTTCTATTTCAACTGATGGAATATATTTATCTGAAGTTGAAAGCAAAAAGTCTCCTTGTAGCGTACTATAGAAAACAGAACCGAATAAATCCATGCCCCAGTTTCCAGAGCAAAGAATCTATTCAAAAGTGAGTTATATGGGACATAATAAAATTTGGGTTAGACTCTTGGCTTGTTTTTCAAGGCAACTACACAGTGCACTTCTTTCCAAAGACATAGTATTTTTCTTTGGCTGTGGAAAAAAGAAAGCAAAAACCACAGTTAGGGTCAGCTCTAGTTAATTTTGTTTTCGGTTGGCCGCTAAAGCGAAACAGCAGGTGTATAATGCGCTCTCACCGGTGCCTAGACTACAGTCCTCTCCTCCTTTCCCGTTTGTGTCTAATGACGTGAAGAAGAGCCGTGCACGGAGGCGGGGAGACGAGCCACCAAAGCCACTCAGCGTTTTCTCTCCCTGGATAAACTTGGGAGAACCGGTGAAGTCAGCAGAATGGAAATGTAGTCAACCCCAGGGCGTCTGACAAGGATGTTCTTAGCTCTCCTCAGACGGATAGGAAGTATTCTTGTGATATGTGAGCCTGACACGCCACGCCTCGATCGTTAACATCCCCTTCAACAACTACAGCAGTAAACTCGTCTTCCCAGGATGCATGTTGACGTTTTTATTCTGCTGTCTCTCACCTTCAACCCGGCAAACAGGCTAATACACGGAACAGAGAGTTACAGCAGTGCTTCTGTCGTCGTGAATGCATTTATCATTGGCCCGATAAAGTAACCGTGGCTCTGGGCGGTGATTAAATATACGCTGACCCCTGTTGGCTTTGTCAGCTCTTTTTATGTACATCTTTCTCACCGTCTCTGTGAAATCTAATTTATTTTATGGCTTCACCTGACTCTCTGATCCCAGGCGTAAAGACATGCACTTTTGCATGATTTGAACTGAAATGACCACAAAATTGACATCGTTTTGGAGGCAAGGCATTTGTATAGCATAGTTTATGAATAAGGAAAAACACAAAACGTTTTACAGAACAAGAAAGAAAACAATTATACATGACAACATTAAAATCATACACAGATAAAACTTATCGAATCACATGACTCCGTCCAGTTGTGTTGGTTTTGGAGTCATTTGTGTTTGGAATAATGGGACGAAAAAACGCAGAATATCTGAAGATTTATCTGATAAAGGCCTTCAATCAATCCACATTTATTTGTAGAGCATCAATTGTGTAAAACGCAATTCAAAGTGCTTCACAAGAGCAACACAAAACAAAAACGTATTAAATGGGATAAGACAGATCAGGCCTTGATGTGAGATGAGATTTCCGATTCTGCCGTTCACACATATACTGTACAAATGTCTGGACATTTGATTTTTAAGTAATCCCTAAACTTGTCCTGAATAATATTTGCTTTGTGTCCATGTCTGTTTTGTAAAGTCACTTTCCCCTAACACTTTTTATAGAAGTCAATTCACTCAGCTGTCAGAGGTATTAGAATAAGCTCCGTTGATCTGCTTTGGGACTGGTCTTTTTCTCTTGCCTCACTCAAACTTAGTCCAATTTTGTAACAACAGCTGCTCAGAGACTGCATCTTGCCTCTGATCGAATCTGAACCAGATAGAGAGAATTTTCAAGTAAAGGTTTTTTGCCTCTGCGTAACACATTTATAGAATATTACAGCATTAACAAGACAGTGACATGCTCTACTAATGTATATTCAATTTATATTTCTAACAGATTGCACTTTCCCCTTTGTTGAGTAAAAGACACCTGTAGAGACAGAATAGGTTTAACTTAACTTTCTTTGGCTTGAAACAACCCTTAAAATTCCCATTTACATAACACACTCTGTTCTTGTCAAAGCCAGTTAACAGAAGACGTTGCTGCTACTAATTGCTTGCTCAGAAGCCATCACATCTTGGCAGAGCATTTTGTAGCAAGACGATGTAATTAATGAGAAGTCAATGAAGGTCAAATCCATAAAAAGAAAATAATAATGGCCCATTAGCACCTCAGCCTCAAGTTGCAGATTACTTTATTAGGATGATGATGATTTTAGGGCTGGAAGTAGCAATTATTTTGACAATCGATTAGTTGGACAATTATCCTTTTAATTCATTAATTAGTTGTTTACATCCTAAAGGTAAATTAATATTGGGTTTTAAATACATTGTTTTGGATTGAAAATACTTTGTAAACGCATATTTTTATTTGATTGAGCAGTCATTATACAATTATTCATTTATAGTTTATAAAAAAATAACAATTCATTGAATAACTGACTAATTACTTCAAATAAAAATGACTTAAGTAATAACTTCCATAATCAAGTAGTAGCGATTTAAGTACGTATGTGTGCATGTACATGTACAGTATGTATGTATGCATGTACTTTATGTATTTTTGTATCAATTTATGTAATTTGAATCATTTATATTTATTCATTTATTGTATTATATATATTTTAATTATAAATATTGATTGTGTGAATCATGTCTGCTCTGCCCTCCCTGACACACCTTCACCCTCACCTCACCCCAACCCTCTATCTGATTTAAGAACTTATCATTTCTGCAAGAGCTTTAATCTGTTGTGCTTTTTACAATCATTTACTCTGTAATACAGAGAATTCAGGTCAGCCTGCAACTCCTCATTCTGCTGCAATTTCATGTCAAACAGATGAGAATAATCGTGTTCTTTTTTTTGAATGTAAAGCACTTTCTATTAGAGTTGTGCCGCAGCAGAATCGATTCTAAAGCCAAGACAAGAATAAAAAGCCAATTTGATGTGACAATGAAGCTTTATGTGTGAGCCCCTCTTATCGTTGGGGCGTGTGTGATCAGAGAATCGGCACTGTCAACAAGCCGTTCACCTGTCCGTGTCTGTGTGGTCAGATAGAACAGAAAGGACCACACACAGAGATGGACACTCACCACTTTCAACTATCACCAATGTTTGATTGGTTTTGTAGTCGTCAAACCATCTCCAGTCATCAAAGAAAATGGTTGTCATCATTGTCATTGTTGTGGCTCATCATCCAAAATGGCCTGTACTCTACTCTACAGTCATTCACACACTGATGTGTCATTGTTTGTGGTGCCTTAAATCTTGAAAGGTGAACTACAGTGACTATTATTTTTCCTTTTGACTTTATTTATTTAGAACTAAAGCCAATACAGGGGTTCAAAAATTTGATCCTCTCACTGACTCCTATTTTGCAACACAATAACATCAAAGTCTGACCAATTAATTAACAAATATAACGGAAATAAGTATATTTCCATGACTGACATAAAAGTCATCAATAGATGGTGATGATTCAAATGAATAATGATAAATGTAAGTATGAAAAGAAAGATTTCATACAAAATAACTTTTACTACAGAAACAATATTCAATCACTTATCTTCAATAACTTTGCATAATTTTTAATACAATCAGAATGAATTACGAGGAAACATGAGTGAGGGCGGTACAAACTCATCATGCCAACCTCTTGACTTTTTCATCAAGATGAGTGAGTGAAACTGTTGTACTGGCAAATGATTGGTGTCTTTCCATTGTATTTGAGCCATCACCAAACCTGAGATAGCGTTCTTCTTTTTCTCCATTTTAGCCGCAGCCCCATGATAAACGTAACCATGTGTCTGTTCGCAGAGGCCCAGTCCAGTGCCATGATGTTCGACTGCTTGTACCTGGAGCTGTCTGCGTCTCTGGAGCACGGCACCACGGAGCTGCTGGAGGCGGCCGTGCGGACCGCCAGGGGGGACTGCGTGGGACCGGGCTGGGCAGACGGAGACCCTGGGGCGGGACGCAGAGAGAGCCTGACCAGCCGAGCCAAGCGCTTCCTCGCCGGCCTGGTCCCACGGTCGTACTGCAGAGAGCGGGACAGAGACAGGGGGCGCTACAGGGAGATGAGCCGACATCGCAGCAGCAAGATCTTCAGACAGAAGTCACGCTCCTGCCACGACCTCAGCTCACTGTGACACGAGCAGACAGGAAATGAGACTTGATGCAGCGTGACAGACATGTGAGAAGGACAGAAGACATGTAGGCTTTCTCCAAAGTCACATGGAGTTACCAATGGAGCGTAACATTATGACCACTCGACAAGCAAGAGGGATTGATGTCATTATATATATATATATATATACAAATATAGACATGTCTGTAAGCTGCTGTACACCTCTTGTTTTGATAGCATGAGGTCAGACGTATGAAGTCAGAATGCTGCCGTTTATGACAGCACATATGAGATTTCATAATGGACCCGTGAAGGGGGCGGAGCTTCCCAGTTCAGGAAGTTGTTTTATTAAGTCAAATTCCCCATTCAAAATACCCATAGGGAATTTTGAATAGAAATGCATTATAAAAGATTGAAAACTTCTTCGGAGCTGGTGGGAAATTATCTCAAGATCTAGAGATGTCAAACAAATTTTGGTCTGGGGCCAAGATCAGAAACTTGGCCCCAGACCAAAGTTTAAAAACATAAGAGCTTGCTGGGGCCAAAAGTTGTTTGCTTTTATAGAAAATATATATATATATTTTGACAAGTCAAAGGTATATAGGAGGTATATATATTTTAAACTTCCGACTGGATCATCAAAACTATTGGTCCTCCTAATTGTCAATCATTCTGGTGATACGTGCTCAGGGAGTCTTGTTAAAAAGCGTAGAGAGGGCGGTTCTTTCCAAAAAAAATTGAAAATCCTCCTACAGTACATACCTTTGATATTAACATGAGTTTGGATATTATTTTCTAGGGCCAAATACTGTATTAAAACATGAATGAAGATAGAATAAATGAAACATTGTTAACTAATTACCAGATAGTGAGTTAGTGTGTGAAACTCCCAATGGGGATTTTGAACTGAGATATTTTCATCAGGAATCCTAAGCTCCACCCACTTCGCAACGCCACAGTGGTCATAGTGTTATGACCGATCTATGTGTATAAACAAGAATAACGTGTTTTACTATGAACCGACAACAATATGTGTTATGGAAAACATTTGCACACGTTGAATCTGTACAGTTTATGATAAAGCGGGGGAAATATTCAAATAACTTTTTATAAGAACAACAAACAAAAAAAATAAGAAATCCACAGATGAAGCAGTCTTAACTTTGGCCTCCTTTCCCCTGAGTTTACAGCGTTGACGAGAAAAGTAGGCCATGGTTTGGGAGACAAACAACAGAAGCTGATCTTCTTCAACCCGGTTTGAATCAGTAATTACAAGCCGGGAGCAGGGGGATGAACAGGGGCTGGTGGGCACAGATAAAACACAAGTAGCACGCACCGATTGCATAGAGAATAATAACATATACCTGTCGTAGATCTGTTTTATAGCATGCCAAGTAGAAGATGACCTTGTAGTTTTTACAATTAATACTGGACCTGGGTGACCAGTATAGCTAATGCACAATCTAGCTAGTGTCTCTCTAGCCATGTTACAGGCAAAACCCTTTATAAACAATGGCACCCTCTTTGTGCATTTTATAACCACACATTTTCCACATCCATGTTTTTTCATGTTCAGGCAGATCATCTTTTTTACCAGTTTCACTCCAAGCCATATCGTTGCTGACCATAAAGAACCCTTTACTGGAGGCGGAGGAGCATGGATAACAGTCAGCATGGCTCTTAAGACATTGTACTTTATTTTATTTTTTTTATTTTAGAGACTTGGATGATCGCTTGTGTCTCTGAGGACGCACAGGTGAAGGCAAAACGAACGACCGGAACCATGATATCTTCAAGCTTGGCAGTGTCCCACTCATTTGTCACTGTCGACTAAGCACGTCTATCCATTCCACAGAGAATAAATATAACTTTTGTTTGACATTCTGAATGAGTGTGTCTTGTCTTGTTCTATGCAAAGAGGAAATGTGGCAGGAGTACAGCTGATAGTGGCTGAAGGCAGAAGTGGCAGGTCGTCAAATGACTCGAGGCTCGTCTCCGAAGACTCTTGCTCCATTTAGGGCCATGCAGTGAAAACATGCAGCGTCGGCACCATTTGCCAGTAAGGAAATATCAGGTCAGAAATAGAAACAGTACAATATCAACTTTCCCAGTCTCACTTCCTGCAAAGGGGTTATGTATAGGTAAAACTAATTCAAACATGGATTCTATCTCAAAGCATTTCAACCTCTACTTTTTCCCTTATTATGCAAAAGATAGCATAGTTATTTCTAATTGATCTTGTGCTGTGTGCTCCTCATGCCTAATGTTCTGTAGCTTGTGATGCAACACTGAAATGTATCCACTCTGAGACAAATAATGTATCTCTCAATCCTTATCTTAATAATTCAGTCACAATTGTGCATTAGACTTTATAACTTGTCTTAAGCCTGGAAGCCTAATTGTCTCCATGGAAATCTTCTTTGTCTAAAATGTTCCAAATGTTCTATTTTGCATTTTCTAAATGTTTGCCAAAAAATATAAGTATACTCCTTTCATATTCATGTAATGCCAGAGCGTGGAGAAGCAATCCATCAGTTGGCAAGCAATGACATCCAGAACAAATGTTGCACTTTTAAACAAACAATCCTATTAATATCCGTAAACTGATTCATTTGTATATCTTAAAACATACACAAAAAGTGCACTTTAACATCATATTAATGCATACATATTTTGCAACTTTCATTTAGTAAAAAAGAAATTCATCACGGACCAAAGAGGTTCCCATTCTGTTGATGCTTCTATGAGGATACAAGTATGTTGCATCGGGAAAGGACTTCTATTGATATACATCTGTTTAGTGTATTTTCTTGTAGAACAACAGTGTTGCTAGTGAGATGTTTTCATTTGCATATGTATAGGCCCCTTCATGTTTAGAAAAAGGCATAGTAAGGCATGATGTAACAGTATGTAACAAAAACAGACCATGAGAAGCGTGTTTTGAGAACAATTACAACTATAATAATGTCTCCAAACACATGCAAGAGTTTGCAAGGCAGAGGGGGAGAAGCTGTTGGACTCACTATAATATGATTCATTTATAAAGGATTCACTGAAATGGGATTCCAATATTCTAGGTCAATTGAATTAGATTGCATGCATGCAATTTGTGACTTTATCAAGATAATCAGGGTAAAGCCCCCTTCCTGTTTTCTCAAAGAGGGATGTTAAAGCTCTGCTCAATAACTTGCCATCATAATATAAAATCAGAACAGAGGTCCAGGACATTTGATCATTTATAATCTGTGATACAGAGAGTTTCAAAATTCCATTTGGTAGTTGAGGTCAGTATTTGTGGATCATAAAAACATATCGTCGTCCGTACAACAGTGGTCCATTGAGTGCTTTGGCTGGTCCTTGTGCAGGATGAGAGGGGACAGGAGGCTCTGGAGGAAAGGGGAACGCCCGAGATGCAGAGGGGAGAGAGAGAGAGTCAGCTTTGAGGAGCAGTGGTTGCTGGGAGACTGTTGTCAAGGAGACGAGGAGTCCTAAAGTCCTTTGGCATCTCCATCAAAGTCCCCATGTTTGTGTTTTACAGGAGATAGTGCTTGTCAGCTCACATCACGGCAGCTTCAATTAGACAAAAAACATCATTAATGTTAACCCATTTTAAAGGCGTTCAGGAGAAAGTCAGAAGTCAGAATTTGTCTGTGAAGGTTGACCTGAGAAACAGAGCTGTAATGATTATTTTTATAATCACGTAATTTCGATACTTCTGTTAATTGTCTTGTAATGATAATGACCATATCTGCACGTGAAAGCCAGATCTTGTGAGAACTCTGAAGCTAAGCAGGACAGGGCCTGGTAAGTACTGTGATGGGAGACTTCTGGGAACAACAGATGGGGGTGACTACAGCTGTAAATTGCCAAATTGTGGTTGTGTTCTTAGGCAAGACACTTCACCCACATTGCCTAGAATGAGTCTGGTGTGTGTGTGAATAGCTGGCGGTGGTCAGAGAGTACATAGGGACATATTGGTTGCATCGTGGCAGGAGTTCTGGTGTGTACAATCCTGGTGCACAGTTTTTCCAATGTGGTTTTACTGCAAATGGCAAATACATTCTTGAATCATGGTTGCCTCTCTTCTGTCAGTGTGCCCCAGGGCAACTCTGGCTACAGTGGTAGTTCATCATCACTGTGTATGGCGTGGATTAGGAATGACATGTGAAGCGTCTTAGAATATGAAACTGTATAAAACTATAAAACTGATACATGATTATTTTTATATTCTAAAAAATCAATCTGGCCAGGAGGAAGGGAAGCCAGTGGAGGACATCCTTGTTGATTATTTTTTTCTTTAGAACCAGACATTCGCACAATTCCTAATTATGGTGATTGTGGACGAATGTTTGACGCTTCGTTGAGGATTTTTCATCTGGAACCTCAAGCGCCACTAACTTTGAAACTCCATGGTGGTCATAATGTTATGGCTGATTTATGTGTATAAACAAGAATAACATGATTTACTACTGTATAAACCAGCATCGATGTGTGATTAATGCCCTCATCTCTCACCAAATAAATGTGTTGAAGTTTGTATTAAAAGAAGTTTACAAATCATCAATTAAAATGTTAAAATACTTTCGGAAAGTCTGAAACCAGACCTATTACTGTTTATTCATTTGTAAAATAATAAGTTTGATCATTTAACTTTAATTAAACAACACCACACTTTCTGCATATTGTTAAAAAAAACGTCCTCTATCTCACCGACACACAGGAATAAAACTTTTGTACTGTAGAGGTCTCCCGACACTTTCAAGACTCTATTCCAGGCAGATAACTTACGTACATCACATGCAAATTTCCCTTCTTTGCAAGTCAAAGCGTGATATCTTAAAAGACCCTTTTAGAAAAGTTTCTCAAGTGCATCAGGGTACTGGGCTCTCCAATCTCTCTGCCTTTTAAGAGGGAGAGGAATAAGAGCTCAAATTCAGCAGGGATCTGATGTGATTTGTTATCAAGCAGCAAGTCCTATTGCAGCGTGAAGGTCAGTGTTCGTCTGTTTGGTCTCCAGAGTGCACACTGCTATTATAGTCCAAAGCACAGGACAAGGAGAGGGAACAGCCCTCCTTGAAATCACACTCCTGATGTTGCATATGTAATTAGTTGAAGTTTATGCCTTGAGAGGTGAGCGGAAAGGAGGAGCACAATCAAGTCCTGATTTACACCTTAGCTGATTGGAAACAAAAATATATAGGTTTTGTCTTGAAATATTATGTGTAAAGGTAAATCCAATGTCAAACCTTTCAATTATGTCAACATCCTTATACTGTTGTCATTTTAATGGTTTTATTCCAAACTCATTCAACTCAAACTGGAACTGAGCACCACCTTTGCATTTGTATGGCTGTTTTGGAGTCACTGAAGCGCATATGATATGAAGCCAGATTGAGATATCCTGCTGCGGTGAGTCATCGCTGTTTCCCTCAATATGTGAAAAAGAAAACCCATGTTAAATATCTGAAAATGTAACAGCTAACCATTACTGAAAAGGTTGTGGTTTATGGATCACAACTTTAATCAAATGTAAATTTACCATAGTAATATAAAAGTAATTATGAATAATAACATTACGGTAGGATATATAAATGTATAAAGACCTACTTAAATTGACTGAGCCTATTCACATGAAGCCTAATTCTAACCAATGCACTTATTCTAACTTGAATTCTTATAACCACACAAGATCTATGGAAAGAGGTTATGCTGAATGAATATTTGTAAACCAGAGCACAATGTGCTAAATACTCATGGGGGCCTTGTGATAAACCCATCAACAGCAACCAGGCACTCGAGACCATGCTGATCCAAGCTTTTTGTTATGACAGACTTGCAGCGATTTTAAAATCTAATTGTCTTTGTATGAAGACAATTTCAAAGTGCAAATTAATTCAAAGTGCCAGTTTCCCTTTGGGCATGGGCCTTTGTTGTCCATCCCACACTGAAAGGCGACCAGCCTCACGTCTGCTCTGCCGAGAAGCGACCGCTGAGATAAAGATGGCTCTCTTCTAATCAATTCATGATCAATGCTTTCCCAGGGTTCCACCGCTGACACGCCTCCTGCTTCAAAGGTATGACCGGAAATCGCATCAAATGTTTCCCTACAGCTTTAATTTGTTTATCTTCTCCCTCCACTGGGAAACGTGATACTTTTGAAACAGATTTAGTCCCAACAACTCTTGTATCAAAGATTTAATCAAAATAAGTAGCAGATTTTGGCAGCTTGAGCCATGTTTTAACATGACATGTTAAAAACACAGCATTTACTTATTCCCACCAGTTCCCACAACATGTACACTGTAAACAGCATGTATTGAATATGCTAAATGTTGATTAAAAACTGCCAACAATAATAACAAATGAAATCAAGAAATTTAGAACTTTGAATAGTATCTTCATCTTATAGTATGTTGTGAGAAAACAGGAAAACATCAACCCCAAACTGATAACTGTTCTCACATTCACACACATTCTAAAAATATAACCATTCAAATTGGCCCCTGCATGAGAGAATTTTTATTCGAGTATATCACTGAACATTTTGCGCTTCTTGGACTCTCCGCTCTGTATTTCCAGCCAGTGAGTTCTGCGGTGGCTGAAGTGGGAAAGGGCAAACTTTGCCCAGACGTGTCGAGCAAACTGATCCGACCGCAGCTGGTTCTCGCTCGGAACTGAAGAAATTTATAAACAAACATTTCAGAGGCCAAGTTCTGAACTTTGTGAGCAATAATTATTCAATATAATATTTATATGCATTACCCAGTTCTTCTGCTATGCTTTGCCTATGTGTGACAGAAGCACTGTTCCAAATAGCCTCTAATGTCCGACTGCCCGACCTGGAGCAAGCCATTGGCACATACTGACCCTGGAAGTACAACAAAAACAAACAAAAATCAGCAAAGTTCATTTTAAGGGGAACTGCTGAAGGCAAGGTGAGATCTAAACAGAAACCATATCTCTCTCACACACAAGACACACACGCACACACATTATTATGTCTGTGTGTGTGTGTGTGTGTGTGTGTGAGTCACGCATGGGAAAATGAATAGAGTAAAAGAGCTCAAGGACAATTGTACTCCAGGCACTTTCCTTCTAAATGTTTTCAGATTTTATAAGGGCAAGTAAAAGTAAGAGTTAGCACTGCAAGGTCAGAAATAATATTATCGACATGAATAAACTAGAAATACAAGACACTTTTTGAATGAATGAACAAAAGCAGCGTTGTCATCATTCCAAGTTCATACAAGTGCAGTTATTTCGTGCAACTTTTCTGCTAAGGGGTCCACCACCAATGTAGGTAAGAATTATGTAATTGCTTATTTCTTAATGTCTCCAAACCATAATTAAAAGTTACAAAAGACATTTTAAAAGTTTTAGTGGAGACCTGGTTACACATGTCGTCTTTCACTAGTCCCAACAGAGGGTCTTGTAAAAGTCAATGTTTTCTTTTGCATAATTGTAAGAAAGAGCCCTATTGAGTCACTATTTGAGTTACATGGATACATAATTCAATGTTTTGGGTCCAGGCTTTCACATGCAGGTGGCACCGCTAACTAAACTTTAAAAGGTATATAGGAGGCTTTTCTATTTCAGGGTGGATCAACATATTGGTCCTCCTAATTGTCAATCATTCTGGTGATACGTGCTTGTCAACATTTGGGAAAATCCTCTTATATACCTTTAAGTGATTATAACTTTCTAGTGTAACTTTCTTTGGACGTGTGTTTGTGTTACCTGCAGTCTCTTGAGGATCTTGCCCCGGCCTTTGTCACTGGAGGAGGTGATGAGCGCCTGAAGGACGTGGCTGCCCACAGATCCAGTAGCCAGGGTCAGGAGGTCATCCGGGCTCAGCGTGCGCAGGCTGCTGAGGAGGAGAGACCGCTCCTTGAATTTACACAGCGCCTGGAGAAGTCTGGACCCGTGATAACACATCACAGAGGCCTTTAGTGGGATCTAGAACAAAGCGAAGAACATTTTCCGTTTCATTCATTTTTACTTAGATTTTTAAAAAAACTCAAAGAAACAACTCATGTTTTATCTCAAACTCACTTTGGAGAACTCACAGATAATGGAAGTCAGGGATGCAAAAGAGAATAGCGAAGATAGGAGAGCCCTGTGATGTACTGATTTAAGGGGAAGACCAAAAATGGAGATATAGGGATAATGTTAATATAAAGATAAGTTTAACTCTAGATAGAAAATAAGAGAAATAGTGCATCAGGAGATACAATAAATAAATAAATAATATATATATATTTTTTGGTTGAAACATAAACAGCTACGATGGTTTTCAGGGACTGGGCCATACAACATAGAATGGGATGTTATGACTTTAAAGAAAAAAAAAACAAACAAAAAAACAGTGGATTAGTGAATGGCTCTTTATTGAAACATACGAGCTTAGACTTCTCTCATCCATTTTTTAAGGATTTTTATTTAAAAAAAGGTAACAGCTGCCTCAGATTTGTATTTTTTTAAATTGCAGTTTTCACTTTTCCACTGAATTTTTACTTGCAAGTCATTCGGGTCTCTTTCGTGAATAACATGTTTGTTCAATGATGAAATTAGATAAGAAGAAAGTAGACATTTGAATGCTTGCCCTAAAAGTGACTATAATACCAAATGATTTATCCAGTAGCAGCGTTTATACATTTAAAGGTCAATTAAATGAGTGCATTAACAAAAACTTAAGTCAGTTTTAGTTGAAAATCTATTTAGCTCTTAAAAAGAGAATCAATCCAGGAGCGCACCTGTGGGTCAATGCCGCCCTCTGCTGTGTCTGACTGGTAGTACACTTCATAAGTGAGCAGCGAGAGGAAGAGAGGGAGGCAGCTGGTGTGTCGAGAACCCGGCTCATTGCAGTGGAACGCCTGAGGATGACAAGTGACAGCTTTAAGCACACAGGACATAATCAGTTGTAGTGAAAGTTAATAAAGCGCTGGGAGGTTTACACTCAGCAGACAGCGCATCAGTTCCTCCTGCCTCTCGCCGCTCTCCGCACAGCTTTCAGCCATCTGAACAATCACCCCCATGTGATTCGAAGCCAAGATCGCCTCCACTCCCTCCACCAGCTCATCAAACAGTTTAACAAACTGGGGGAAAAAAGTATGAGTCAACTCTTACTCTGTACTGCTGTTGCTATTGCTGCAGTTTTGGCTCATTTACTATAAAAAGCCTAAATGCTCATGATACTAGTGATGGGGTTATGGAGCTTTGTGACGCATTGAGGCCTTTCATGCACCTGTATGGCAACTGCTTTGAAGCTGCATGGGTCTGGTTAGAAACACTGACATTTGATGGACAAATTACGTTCATTACAGCTTCTAGCAACCGGACTAATACTTTGTTTTTGTTATGGAGCAATGCAAGTTACACCATTAATCAGTACTGCGGGCGTCCCCTGCCCATGCTGGAGATTAAACAGCAATACCCTAATCAGATAATGTGATACCATGGCCCAAAGTCAGGTGACACTCTGGTCACCTGACTGTTGTGACACACGCGCCAGCACTTTGCTTCAAAGCACTTTGCTTCAAGAAGAGCGTCACAAGTATCCATTTAAATAACTCATCACCCCATAATCTTATAAAAGTTAGTAATTATGCTTTGTATGTACATTTCACAGATCAATGTGACAAAGTTATTAACAATAGGTTGCAATCATGTGACATCACAACATTCCAAGCTTTTAACATTGTAGCGGAGGGCAGTTGAAATACAGGTAATTTCTCTGTCGTTTCTGGGCCAACCCAGATGAGACAAAAACAGCTCGGAATCTTGTTTGTTAGTACATATCAACTATGATCTAACATTCTCATAAAAGCTGTCTTGTAGTGGTGACAATATTCAAAAAACATGCAGGTAAAAGAACTTTCAGACATAAGAATAATATGATAAGTTTGTGAAACTCATCACTATCAAATAATGATCTGGGCCTGGGAAACCATTTGGACATTTCTTTCAAAGATTGCTCCATTCTCAGAGTCGTATTGGCACCTGCCCTCCAACTGAAATACAATTCTGCAACATGAACGCAACCTATTTTGTGTAATTTCCATTCACTCCACACACAGTGACGACAGAAGTGGGACCTGGTGCACCCTTCGGCCACCACCACCTCATTAAGTGTTACTAAGATACTGTTTCCAAAATACAACACTACATACTGTCGCAGTCCAAAAAAATAAAAAGAATTGGACGCACCATTTTGTATTTTGCTGTCGCTGCGGTGAGTCGCTGAATGATAAAATTGGCAATGGGATGAAGAGCGAGGTCAACTAGGTGAGATTCAAGGTGATTTTTATAGATGTCTCGCAGCAACACTTTCGGGGACAGCTCTATGACTTTTTCAACAAGGTGACTGGCGGCTTGGTCTTTCAGAAAAACTAGAAGTGGGCTGAAAACAAAGAAAACGCATTTGACAGAAATAAGAATAATGATGAAGGATTTTGTGTGTCGTCTACATGAAAAGCATGGCTGACCTGACTCCTGGTGCTGAGCTGCACCCTGACAGAAACTCCATGATGCGTTTCAGGAGCTGCTTACACAGTTTGGGACGTTTTCGATGACAAACGGTCAACATGGTCTGAAATACTGCACTGGCAACAGTGTGTGTCACACTCACTGGGAAACCACACAAAAATGACATTAGTGCCTCTACTAATACAATAAACATCTACATATTGAATGAAGTAGGACCTCATTGCTGAAGAAAATATTCAGATCATATTCTGATTATTTACTCACAGTTAACGTTCGCCATAAGACTTTCCGAGAGCTCTTTAAATTCATACCAAAAAGAAGTAGGTATTTCAAAATCTGTGAGCTGTGGGATGACATGACGGTCTCTCGGCGCTGCAAACAGATACATACAAACAAAAACCTTGATTTGACCACTTTTGTGGTCATGTTTGTTTTGAGAAACAGATTGACAGTGTGGTCAGGTCGAGTTTTTATCAGCTGCGTATTTTAACTAAGGCTTTTAACTAAGCCTTTTTTAAACCGCTCTGACGTGGAGAAAACCATCCACGCTTTTATAAGTTCTAGAATTGATTATTGTAATGCCCTTTATTTTGGAGTTCCCCAGTCATGTCTTAATCGTCTCCAGTTGGTGAAAAATGCTGCAGCTCATTTTTTAACAAACACCCCCAGACGTGAACACATCACCCCAGTTCTTTTTTCTTTACATTGGCTTCCAGTTTCTTTTAGAGTTGATTTTAAAATTCTTCTTTTTGTTTTTAAAGCCCTAAATGGTCTTGCCCCTTCATACCTGTCCGAACTTCTAACAGTTCGTGACTCGGGCAGATCCCTGAGGTCATCAAATCAGCTTTTACTGGAAGTACCCAGGACTCGGTCCAAACATTGGGGTGGTCGAGCCTTTTCGGTTGCTGGACCAAAGCTCTGGAACAAGCTGCCCCCTGACCTACGCACAATCACTGACTTTGGCCTTTTTAAATCTAGACTTAAGACATATTTATTCAGACTGGCTTTTAATACTCAGTAGCACGGCGACACTTTAGTTTCTAATGGTTTTATCGTTTTTTATTGTTTGGTTGTATGAATGTTTTTAACTGATTTTTATTTTTTTTATTTTTTTGTAAAGCACTTTGGTCGCCTTGTGTGTTGTAAAGGGCTCTATAAATAAAAATTGATTGATGTACAGTATGTAATGATACAGACAAAACTACAAACTTTTAAAAATATGCTGTGAATATTATATATTGGTACGCACTTGAGTGAATGGCAACGTGGGCTTTTTGAAGTTCTAAATTACTCATTACAAATAAACATTGACATGAGTTTGAAGAGTACCGGGTTGAGCCGTGGTGCGCGGAGGTCCGATGCAGCCCGCCATCACGTGGAGAAGCGTGCGGACGACGTGTGTCCCGTGAAGATGTTTGATGAACTCAGCGCAGTTTTCTCGCACCACACGACTGAGACACAGCACCTGCGTCTCCAGAGGCCCGCTGCTGTCACCCTCCTCTGATTCTGAAGACTCTGGATCAAATCCAAGGGGCGACAAAATGAAAGAGACATTAGCTATATATTACTATTGTTTATATTGCTTTCTTTTGCAGAACGTTTGAAATAAATTTTGACTACACTACTCTGCTCTCCTTCATTTCTACTTTTCCTCCCACTGACTTTGAGCGAGTTAGTCACCTTTTTATTTCTTCAAGGTTAGATTAATGCAACTCACTGTATTGAAGTCTGGACCTAAGTTGACTAAAGCGCCTTCAGCAGGTCCAAAATGCTTCTGCTCGCCTGCTCACAGGGACACATAAGCGAGAGCACATTACCCCTGTGCGGGCCTCCCTTCACTGGCTCCCTGTCAGATTTAGGGTTGATTTGAAGATTATGATGCTGAAATGGTTTAGCCCCTGTATATATGACAGAGCTGCTATCTTTTTTAATGTTCCTGTCAGATCAGCGAGGTCAGAAAACCAGCTTTAGTTGAATGTCCCCCAGCAAAAACCTCAAGGAGTCTTTACTAATGCTGCCCCCAAACTGTGGAAAAGTCTATCTTTGTACATCAGAGACCCATTTGTTTGCTCTTTATAACATTTATAACCTTTGTGCATGTGAAGCACTTTGGGCAGCTAGTGTTGTTGTAAATGTGATATATTAGATAAAGTTGACGTTGACAGAGCTAATGCCAAAGAATGGGGATGCTACTACTTCTGCTGTGCTCTTCTTTATTCCAATTACTTATGTTGACGGGAGAGAAAAACTCTGTAGCAGCTTGGGGATAGAGTTATATAAACTTACCTGACCAACGTGACATCTGTCGGATTGCACTTTCCACCACGTGGCTCGAGCAGTGACTGCATGCAACAGTTTTGATGTCTGATCCTGTTTCTCCAGCCATTTCCTTCAGCACTTCAGCCACCTGATCCAGCCTACAGAGAGGGAGCAGATGCTGCAGAGTGACGCTGGCAGTGCTGTCCGAAGCCACGAGGGCAGCTTGTCCTTTGACTTCAGAGAGAACATTCTCCACAAACATTTCTGTGCAGAGGAATACAAAATTGGAAAAGTGTGAATAGGGTTATAATGTGTCATGTTACTAAATTAATCCACATGCATTTTTTACCTGTTGTCAACTTAGGGGAGATGTACATAAAAGTAAATCTATACTACGTAGGCCTGGCACAATAACTAACTTTGATGAACAATCGATTTCCACAAAAAAATGATTACAATTACAATAGTATTACTATTGAAACTACATTAAATCACTGATTCAAGTACAATACAGAAGTAGTGAATGATCATAGCAATTTCATTAAAACACTACAGTGCTAAAGCTAAAACTTCATTCATTTAGAAAGAAAACTGCAACAGGATAACTCCCAATTTAATAAAGAAGAGGCCACAAAAGATAAAGGATTGTTCATCAGTCATTGAACAATAATCAATGACTGACTCATATCTCTGTTGAATGATATGGCCAGTAATAGAATGGTAAGTTTAAAGTTTAATTGATGACAGCACAAACCAGTAGTTCCAGACATATAAAAGCAACATTATGAACCTAACAGCATGGTATTACTTATATTCATTATACAACTTTTCTGTAATAAACAATATACTTCAGCAAATCAGCGAATGGATATATCGCAATCTTAGGTATCTGTATCTGTATTATTATAATTATTGGAGGCTGTTGTATGTTGTAGAAGAGATACACAAGTTTTACCCTTCATTTCATCATCTTCAAAGCTCTCCTTCAGCCTGTCGTCCACTCTGCGGAAGTAGCCCACACTGGTTGGATCCAGGCGCTTGCCTCTTCCATCCTCCACATCTTTCTTCTTCTTTGGTCTTGCATCTGTGCTTTCTCCAGTGTGTTTTCGCTTATTCTCGCCCTTCTTCTTCTTCTCGTCCATTTCTACCATAATTCCCATCAAGGGTGTACAATGATGTCAATCTAGACAAAGAACCGAAACAGGTGCAAAGGAAACGCTATTAGAAGCCAATATCTTGAAAATCACTACTGAATTATGATAATGAAATAGTTTGATAGTTTCATGCTCTCAGGGAATTAAGATGATCAGTAGTTGAGTTAGTTGTGAGTTGTAGCCAAAGCTTTGGCATAAGATAGACGTTACATGAGGTGAATGAGTTCAAATGTAGTGAAATCGACATCATGATGTCACATTTAAAAAACATCTAATCCAAACTACAGCGAATAATAATCTGATCAAACTGTTTACTCACATGTGAGCCTGGAGGAGACATGGGAGGAGAGCGAGGGGCGGCGCACGTTGATGACGTATGTTGGATGAACGCTGTGTTTGATTTAGCAATAAACTCATGGATCTAGAATAAACTGCCTGAGGAATTTACTGTGAGTATTGCCAAATGTTCCCTTTCACTTACGTCCATTTAGACCTATAGTTATGCATCAGTGCTGTGGTTCACTTACCTGCATTCTCTCTTCTTAGTCATGAAGAATTACACAAGTGCACGCAAAAAACACACACGCACAGTGACACAAATTCTCCATAGAGCGTTATATCTACAGAATGTTTGCGATATACTATTACTTTCCAAGTGATCAGTATGGTGTGTTATCTCCCACCAGGGGGCAGTATGTTACCTCTGTGTTATTACGACATGAGCTGAATCCATGGATCTATTATAATAACGTCCAAGACACACACAAAAAATGAAGGGAACTGACCTTTTCTTTCATATTTTTCTTTTTTTAATTCATGTTATGGATTTAAGTACTCCTCTATGTCTTATAAAGTTTCAGGGCTCCACTTTATTTTCTCTAAAAAACTCCTAAAAGACCAATTTTCTATAAGACTTACATGTTCTGTATTAGACTTGCATTTCACAATCTGACAGATTTGACCTATACATATCTAGGGCTTGAAGGCAGCAGAAACATAAGAAACAACAATATTACGCTCTCTTTCTTCCAGGAGACAAAAAATATTACCATTATCTTCTTTACAGTGGCTTTCTGAATACACATTCCAGGATCCGGGCTGACTTTGTACGTGTGAGAGAGCACAGATAAATGACGTTCTCCTCCTTCTTGGCTTTGTTTGTGTTAATCTCCAGAGCAACTGCAGATCCTGACTCAACCCCACGGTGCAAGCTGCAGCAGATGCATTCTGCTAATGATCAAGTCTCAGTGAAGTCAGGTACTCGTCAGACACATTTCATCACACACAATGATGTCAATGTACGGGACTTTTGTGAATCATAATATGGATCTGAACAAACCTTCCACTCACAAACGGCTCATAACAGCTTATCTGGTAATCATTAGAGAATCAGCTATTCGGGAGAAGCACATGTTTTAGTGAGGTTACATTCTTTCTCTTTAACAAATCAATGACCACAATCTATCTTGAATTTGTTGTAAGTAAATAAATGCATTACTTAATACTTGCTGACGAAAGTAAGTAATTGCATGAAAACAACTCACTGTGATTCTTAAATAACGCCAGACATTATTTAAGAGCCACAGTGAGTTGTTTTCCCACTCTTCACTGCCCTGTGTACCCCCAGGCCCACAGGGACAGCGCCAGGGGGTACACAGGAGGGTGCACCGTTGTTAAGGGGTAACATTCATGTCCCTTAGGATGCAGTTAGATAGCTTTTGGTCACATTTTGTATCTGGTTGTTTTAATTGATTAGTTATTTTTTCACATTTTGTACACATTTTCAAAAAAAAAAAAGGTTCAACTTGACTTTTGGATTGTTAATCTGAACAAAATGAGTGTGATACATGCTTGATTTTAACCAAACCTCGATATTACAGCCTTAAAAAGTATTATATTAAGTATTTGTATGAACTTCATTTAGGGGTCAGTTTTTTTAATCAAATTGGTGCCATGAAATAGGGGGTAGGGAAACCTTTGTGGGAATCCAGGCAGCTGTATAGAAACTGTATGTATCCCTACAGGCCGTTTCTGCTCTTGAACATGTCCTCCTCCCCGGTCGAATGGGCAGTTTGGATTCCCCCAGACTGAGCTGGACCCAGGACACAAACCCATCTGTTATACTCTCATACTTTGTTGAACCCAAGTCACCTTTGCGTTTCCTTTCTCGTCCAGCGCTCGCCACAAGCTGCAAACGCGATCTGTGTCATTTATCACGATGGTGTCAGGCCAACAATGAATGGTCAGTGCTTTCGGAATACAAATAGTCCCGCCAGCCAAGAATTTAATGCATGCACCAAATAAACCTCCCTCGAATTATGACAATGGGATGTTAACCTTTTTCTTTTTTGCAGAGATCCTTATCCTTGTCTCAAACAAAAACGTCAAGATGAAGCTAGGATACACAAAGATACTGCACCAGGTATGTTTAAACTGTATAATTTAGTCTCTTGAAACTGAAGCATCTATGATTGAAAGCAAGTAGCTAGAACTGTTAAAGAATGTACAAAAAATAAACGTAATGTAAATCTGCTCAAAAAACACGATGAAGCGTTGATTTTTTGCGTTGATTACCGGCAACACATTATAACAAAGGGCAATCACTTTTCAAATGCCTATGTTTATGTCATTCTGTGCTCTCTGATGCAATGCTTTCTGGGAAGTTATGAGCAAGTAAAGCAGAGGTTGAAAGTCAGTTTAGTATGATCTTAGCTCGTATCCCTTTCACCTTTGAAATTCTTGACTTCACCCATATCTTTGCTCATCCTCCACTCCCTTCCTGAATTGGAAAATCATGGTCAGAGAATATTGCGTAACACTCTCTCCTTTTTGGTCTGTGATTCAGCCATTATTAGTTCCCTCTCTTACGCTGCAAGTGGTGCTCACGGGGCTGATGTGCTGTGTGGGAGTGGGAAACTTTAAAAGGGTGGGACAGACGAGGCTAGAGGGGCGTTGCATTCCCTCTCTGCCATATAAGAGCTATCAATAACCAAAGAACAGGGACTAAAACAGTTTACATAAGAGGCATATACTGTGAAGTGGAAAGGAATAAGAGGATAGACGAAAAGTAAGTGTGGCCTTTATTTTTATTCTCCAGTTGCCAATTGTGTCCAGTTAGAACTTTTAAGTGTAGTTCCCAAAAGTTGTTGTTAGGACAGGGATGGTCCATCTTTTCATTCTGCAAACAAGCCAACACTGAACCAGAACGTGTTGCATTCAAGTTGAGTACAAATGGTATTGGCAACAAGTGAATTGAATTGAACTGAAACTGCATTGATTTTTTAAATAATCTTGAAACAACATATAATCTTTGTTAAAACTCTCCTAAAAACATGTAAAAGACAGTGGTTTTATAACGGTATCAACCTATATTCTTGTTGTTTTATGCACTATTACTCAATTTCATCTAGTTTTTATTCAGTTCTTGTTTGCTGCACTTTGTCTGATCTCAATATGTTTACTTTAGTGTGAAATACTCAAATACTCAAAAAACAATTATCATTATTATAACCTCTTTCATATGTTGTAGAAATACAATGTAATGTTTTGGCAAAGGATATTAGGGATGTTATTAAATTTTAACATTCAAACATTGCGATCCTTCCCACTTCTACTACTGGTACCACTGTTTGAGAACAGCACTGTCAGTTCAACACATTTTAAGTCACTCTTGTACGAACAAACTTTTTGAGCTGTATTTTTGTTTGTTAAATAAGCACAGCGGCCCCTCAGTTATAATAATGTTTTCTCCAAAAAGAAAATAGCCACGTTAATTATCATTTTGGTGAAAACAGACTTATCTCAGGATGCAGCAGCCGCCAACATCAACACCGCTGAAAAACAAGTTTGAAAAAGCAGTGAGACTAAAGAACAGCAGAAGTTGTACATGTGGTACTGATAAAGAGGTGAGAAGAAGAAAAAAAGATGAAGAAGCAACAATTTCAAGCCTGACTGGTGACTCTATTTGAGTTTGTGCATGAGTGTGTGAGCAGGAACAGGAGGCAGAGAGGTGTTGTGGGGGAATGGCTTTTCATGGGTTCAGTGGATGACACTAATTGGCAAATCTGCAGCCTCTCGAAGGTGCACGTGGAAGATAACCAGCCTTTAATAAGGGAATGAAAGGGTGCATTTGAAGATTTTTTCCACCCAATGTTTCTATTATAAGTCCGTCATCCTTGTATAATACAGTGGGGTTTCTTGAATAGACTTGAATTTAGGCAGTTTTTCTATTACCATAAATGGACATTTTAAAAGCTGGGGTGTCCAACTTTGATTGATTCATTTTGATTCTATTCATTTGAGCAGAACATTTACATTCAGAAGTTTTTACAATATTTACATTCCTTAGTTTACATGACCTTCTGTATATGTTGCCTCATTGCTTACAGTACATACCCACACATGCAAATATATGTATGTATATATATATATACACATAAATATACAATCAAGCACCAATATTGGCCCTAGTTTCACAATGTGTTGTAAACCACATAACATGGAACTATGCAAATAAGTTTATAAGTTTTTGGCTTTTTAGCTTTTTTTTGGCTTCTGTCACAGCTTTAGATCAGAGTTTTCAGACAGAAAAGTGTAAAAGAGAAGGCCACTGTCACTCCTCCAATCAACCTTCATCTCAAAGAATCACAGGGCTCTTTGTTACAATTATGTAAACATTTTCAAATAAGATGACAACTGTATACTGTGGTCTGATTTGTTCACAACATTTGACTTTTACAAGCCTTTTGTTTGTGTTTTTCACTAATGAAAAAGTTTGGTACCCCAGCTTTAATTGCAAGCACATTCTAGAAGCCAAGCAATTCCTCAGTTAATTGGTTAAAAATGGCAACATGCACCTTATACTTATTCATTATGTATTAATAAAGAGTCAGGGTGGGTGAGGTCAAACAGTGATGAGTGTTGGGTGGTCTCGACTTGTTGATGCAACAGACACAGCTGACCATTATGTCTGTCATAACAGTTATTATTGCTTTATTAGCTATTTACTCTGTATAAAATCATCCCTGCAAAGGAATTTCCCTCTGTCATTCCAGTCAATTATACAACTGCCTTCATAAGTTTACAGACTTACATACTTTGTTTAATGTTTTTAAATCATAATGCCAACAGAAACCACCAAAAAGAGAGCATCCCAAAGTTTATCAAGACTAACAACGAGGGGAAATATATCTCTTATTCTGTATATTCCCTGAAAAATGGCCAATAAATCATGATTTCTTGCAGTATCATGAGCACAGGGTAGTCGATGTTCCTCCCCTCTCCAGCTGTTTGGGAGATTAGGTATACTGAGAAAAATTCCATTGTAATTTATCGTTTTACAAAATCAGACTCATCTTGACTTGTCTCTCGCACCAGTCCATGAAGGCACATAACAGGTCTTTACGAAACTGAGAATTATTATATGGTAAAGAGACATCTGTGATTGTTCAACATTTTCTGCTGACGTAGGATGTCTTTGCTAATTACTGCACCCATGTCTTTTATAGTGCTTTAATAAGAGTTTCATGAGCAGCGTGTGCCACACAAACAGTGGCATTTGACGTGTACGAGTTAGTTACTGACTCTGCACATGTACATCATGTATAGTTTGAACTGGGAATTGGTTATCCACAGAAAAAGATGATCTAAGCCAAACTTGTTTTTTCCTCTCATCATAGGAAGATTTCACATGATAACAACAGAAATCTACATGAAATAGCATCCAGTGCATAGAGAAATATGCCTCTGACATACACACATACATCACCAAACTTTTGATGTGTGTGTATTGTGTGTAGACTCATTCTAGGCATAAATTTACCATTAAAAGACTTTGTAATTGAAATGACACTTTTATTAGAAGATGATTTCTGAGTCTCACATTGTGTTGTTTATTTCAATGTTGTGCTAACTTAGGGTAGTTCCTATAGAAACAGCTCACTTGAATCATGGGTACCACAGAAAAGAATCCCAGAATGCTTTGAGAAAGTCTGATGACCCATTCAAGTGCAATCCTGGAATGTGGTAATTGTGGGAGCAAGAAGAGAGAACAAAATATTTCTTCTGTTTCCATTTACAAAAATGAGGATGTGGTTTATTTTGAAAGGTTAAAGGTTATGCCCCCTTAACTTTAGAGTCTAAACATGTGATGTTGAGACATCACATGTGTCCCACACACTTTGGACTATCGCCAATTTTTTTCAAGACTCACAGACTGATATACTGATTTTTTCTGAACATCAAGCAATGGATTTTTTAAGCGAATGTTGCAGCAGTAAACCGCAGACTATAACACTGTATAACATTTTCTCAGGATGCCAGGAGAGCGTCTGACGGTCAGGAGCACAGCGGACGTGGGGCGGTTCCCAGGGGCAGCGCCCCCGACCCGCGTGGAACTGTCCATCCACAAAGATGAGAAGAAGCCAGAGGAAGGAGGCTGTCGGCGCTGGTTCAAGAAGATGTGTCCATGTTGTTTCAAAAGGCAGGCCAGCACTTCACATGACGTCACAGATAAAGTGGAGCTGGTCAAACCCCCCACTTGTGCCCCTTTGCCCGTACCAGACGCACTCAAATCTGAAAAAGACGAAATGAAGGAAATGGAAGGTACGTGACAGGAAAAGAAATGCAACAAGGGAAGTACAGTTTTAACTGAAAACAAACTGAAAGTTTTCAATTGTGTTCACGTAAGCAGAAATATCCCCGTGCAATTCCCGGGGATATTTCTTTGTCTGCAGTTAAAATATATCAATAATATAACGCTTCTAATAACATTAGAAGGTTTAGAGTAAGTACAGTGGAAACTGGAAGTATACATTTTCAAAAAGAAACGTAATGATTTAGTTCTTGTGCTGTGGTGCTTTAGGTCAGTTATTTTATTTTATTAGAACTATTTTGAATTGACTCTTAATAAATATTGGGAATTGGGTGTCCCATTCAGACTGTTAGAAACAAAAAAAAACACTGGGTGTGTACACTTCTCATTTGTTCTGTATGAACTTTGTTGAGATGCGGTCTTTGGTGTATAGGGTAAAATAGTTTTGAGACCACAACCTGCACTTTGGTAAAAAATAAATGTCTGTATTTCAGGGTACAGTATGTCTCTACTAGCGTTGACCATCTTGGACTTTTTACCCACTCTTGCAAACCGGCTCAAAATCTGTCACTTTGGATGGACAGAGTTTGGGAACAACAGGGTTTAGGTTAGGGCTGCACCATATTAGAAATTAGAGCGATATTTGATATTCGAGTGTTTAGTATTTCGATATTATTGCAATATTTTTGTCTGTCACCTAAAATGGCAATCTGCATTGAAACGCAAGAGACAAATAACAAAAAATAAGCACAACATTAATGACCTTCAAATGCATATATTTATAGATTTTTTTTCTTTTTCTTTTTTTCTTGTTGAATGTTGACATGTCTTTCTGTTTTGTTGTCTTTTATAAAGGACAAAAAAAAACATTTCCTTTTTTTTTATAGCGCATTTTTTCGATTTGGATATTGCACGCACCAATATTGCGATAACGATACATTTTCGATCTATTGTGCAGCCCTAGTTCAGATCGTGTCAAAGTTTCTTGATTTGATTTGGATCTGGGCTTTGAGTGGGTCATTCTAACAACATTCCCTTCCCTGTCCCTGCCAAATAAAAACAGCCCCACAGCATGTCGCTACTACCACTAGGGTCAACATTGGGGATGGTGTCAGTAGAGTCCCAGTGAACTAGAACACCCTCCACACACTTGAGGGTGGCTTTTTTATTTTTTGGGAACCTTTAATGTCTATGTTCAGCTCATCCAGAAAAGCCGGACTGGTGTAGTGCTCAACAGTCCGTGAGATAGAGAAGATATAGATGTATGATGTGGTACGATGAATAGATCAATGGGATCAAAGGATTCTCTTATCGGCCCTAACACTTTGCTGCTCACTCGTTTTTGCAGAGTTGAAGGTGTCTGTGTGCTCTGTGGACCTGCTGAGCTCTAAAACCGGCCAGAACAGGACAGAGCACCACACGGACGAGTTCTATGGAGACGAGCTGATCATCCGCAGAGGCCAGACTTTCCAGATACAAGTGGAGCTCAACCGGCCTTTCAGCGCAGACACAGACAAGCTACACCTCGAGCTCAAAACAGGTATTGGTTTTGCATATTTTGTTTTATTTATTACATATTTGGTTCATTCATGGCTTTAGCTTCCTGTCTCTTCAACACTTTTACCCATTTAATGAATGTACTAAAATATTACAGAAACAAATATTATGTTAAAACTCTAAGAATATTGAGAATATTGACTTCGACATTTAAGAATCTTAAATAGTTTATGAATGAGAAAATATATAGATGAACATGTACAGTGTCATGGAAGTAAATTATCTTGAGTAAAGAAACCATCTATTGATATTTAGATTTCTCCATGTTCAGATCAATAAAGTTTTATCTTAGAAGTGGGAACTTACGCTTTTCTAACAATGAAGTTGTAAAGAACATAATTTGACTGGAGAAAAGTCCCAGAACTAATTTGGAGGCAACACTTTGGTCTTTGGTCAAATAGACTTTGTCCATGCCAAGGTTTGAAGATGTGCTTGCCTACTCCAGGTAAGTTTTAATGAGGGAACGTTGTAACATTGTCAAAAACTCAAAAAGACGTGCTCTAACGAAATTAACGCTTCAAAGTGAAAAAGTATTGAAACAGTCATGTGTGTCATAATGATAAGATTATGATGTAAACTATGCTAATACCATAATTCCCAGTGCCATCATACACTGCTAAAGTTATCCAATTGGTACCACGCACGAGAGACCTTCCCATAGTTTGTGTGGGAATCGTGGTCAAATTCCAAGTGCAGCGCGTTCAAACGAAGCTGCGAGCCGGCGATTGCTGCAGCACAAGTTCTGGATCCCTGCCACAGTCCTCCTCAGTGTTAATAGTTTCCAGACGCTGCACCAGATACCTCCCTCTGGTATTTACAGAACCGCAACTACAACTCCTCATGGGATTATGCAGTTATGCCGTCATCAGACAAGAGCTCCCTTTTCACTTCAGATTCTTCACATACAGGGTGGGGAGCTCATTCTTGCTCGACAAAAGAAAATTGCAAGTGAAATGCTTGAGAAATTAATCAATAATGAATACCTCCAGGCTCGAAAAATCTCATTGTTTATTCTGACAAACCACGAAGGACTGTCATGCTTGTGTGGCTTCCTGTTCGATGGGAATTTGAATTTGCTTCGTCATAAATAAACCCATACAACCGTGTTCGCAAATTGCTTATCAATAAGGAAAAATATCTACTCGCAGCTTGAACTGTCTCAATTACTTTTCTAAAACAAACTAAGCAAAGGTGTGTGTCAGTTCTCATTTGGATTCACCCTGTGTGGGCTGAGCAGGTTGTTAGTGATGAATGACAATGTGAGAAGAGGTTCTTGTACAGCCGTGACTATGACTCAAATACATCTTCAAGCTTCAATAACTGAGCTCCGTTACACAAACAAAAACAAACAAACAAAAAAAGTAGCATTTTCTTTTATAATTCTGGCCAAAACTTCTTAAACATAGTAATCAGAGGAAATTGTTCTGAGAGGAAATCAGAGGGAAAAGTGTCTAAGAAAAGCAAAATTAGAATATTCAGTTTAATGGTACAGACTGTAATCTTTCAAATGATAGTTCTTTGGCCAAACTATTGTCTGAATATTGTGATTTTAATTCTCTTATTCCAAGGAAAATGAAACGTAATTCTAAGACTTTATGTACTTGAGGTGTGTTTTTTGTAGTAGTAGTAAGAACTTTGTGGTGTTATTAAAAGTGCAGCTAATCGGTATGTATTTTTATGTAATTTACTTTAGTAGTTTTTCTTAGTACTTTGAGCACTTGAATAATTATTTTACTGCCAACTTTTTTACATTTACCCCTTACTTATAATCAGAATGTACATACTAAAGCGTATATTTTTATGATATATTATTTCACATTCTGAAACATGACTGGAGGGACTCGCATATCAATACCTACAGATCGGGTGCGTAGGAGGAGAGGCCTGTGCAGCCAAATGTGATAGAGAAAAAGATTCTCGTACACCGTCTTACTTGCAAATTAAGAATAAGTAATTAGTTTTGCATAATGCCGAAACGTCTCACTTCTAATACATTATTTTTAATTTGCAAGTAAGACGGTGTGCTGGAATCTTTTTCTCTATCCCATTCTGAAACATTAAATGACAGGGGTAAATAGTCTCATTATCATTTTGATTGGACAAAAATAATGCATACTATTTCCCCTCAAGTACAAGAATTATTTGAATACTTTTACTTGAAGTTGTAATAGTAATATCTGTATTTAATTTCCTAAGACTAGTTTTGCCACCACAGATTCAGTTTCATTTTATTTACCATTGTTAGTAAACCATATTGGAATACAAGTGCAAAAGAACTCAGAGTGCACTTGACAAATATGTACAGTAAATAAAACAAGCTTACCTCTGGGCAAAATAACTTGGGATTTTTCTGAGCCCAATGTACAGTTTGTGTCTGATTTAAAAATACACGGTTTACTATTTCTATGCTTTATGTTTTTACTGGTGGCATGTTTTCTGTTGCTGTCACCGCGTTGGGAGTTTTCACCTGACCTGTAGAGTGACCGTTGCCCCGTCTGCCGCAGGGGGGCTGCCGCTGGTGTCTAAAGGCACTCATGTCATCGTCCCCTTGGTGAAGCACCTGGAGGACGAGCGCTGGGAGGCCAAAGTCGTGGAGCAGGCCGATAACACCATCAAGCTGTCGGTCAACTCTCCGGCCACTGCTGTGGTGGGTCTGTATGGGCTCTCTGTGGTCACCGGCTCACTGAAGGGAGAACCCACCTCCTACAACTCACCCAAGAATATTGTGATGCTGTTCAACCCATGGTGTGAAGGTAAGAGCGAGATCATTTAAATGGTTGAAATAAGTACTTTTTCTTTTTACCTCTCCTTGGCTTTTTGTTATGCTTGTTCTGTTTGGGGTTGTACTTTTGTGTTTTTGTTTTATGTTATGTTCTTGTTGAAGGTTGATGTGTTTGTCTGTTTTGTTGTCTTAAATTAAAAATAAATAAATAAACAATAATAATGATAAGTTACATATAGTCCCGAAATAAAGCCGAGATACTTGATTTTCACTAATGACAATACATCTAACTCATTCCTATTCCTCTCAAACACTCAAAGGCTATACCCTGTGCCCATTTTTTTTATACTTTTTGTTTCCCAATGCATTTTGTTCGTCTCAACTCAAACTTTCCCCACTGAGGGACAATTAAAGCTTCTCTTATCTTATCAGAAAGAGACTTGTGAGATTATGACCACAACATATTCATAGTATTAGAAGACATGTTATCCAATTGTATAACTATTTGACACTGAGAGCTGATTGGCTGAGTGATGTGGTCCTCTGTCTCTCACCTTTCTGACATGCCAAATATATATGCACGTGAAAATGCTTGCAGAGCAAGAGGAGAACTGTCCAGATAGCAAGGAAGTATACTTGAATTACATACTTTTTCTCTTTTTATTAGTTGGGCTCCACCCGCTCAGAGCCCAAAATGTCAATTAGCGATTCACATGGCTCTTCATTACAAGAATGCAATGGCAATGATTCAATTAAAAACATTGCTGTGTTCATTATACTAAGGCAGAAAAACAGAGCTCACTTATGTCAAATGTTTAGCCTCTGTATTTTTATATATTTTCTTTGCAACAGTATAGAAAGATTAGTGCTATGTTTGTAATGCTGTAGCTGTAGAGGGTTGAGTGGGCATCAATTCTTCATTTGTTTTAGCTAAGGTCTGTAAATGCTAAAGACAATTTAAATGCTAAAGAAATGCTAAATGCTAAAGAAACGGGGATTATCCTGCTATTTCAGCCTTTTTGTGGTGTCAAGTATTTTTTAATGCTATTGTTAATCCTTGAAGGCATATGGCATTATTGATAATCTTCTTTATATATCCTTTCTTATGTTTGGTAAAGCTATTTCTGTCTTGTATTGATCAATATGGATGCAGCTGTCCCTGTTTTGGTAAAAATGTCCATACAATTAATAGTAAGACACGTTTGAGTAAATCTAAATAATATCTATCATTCGCCCAAAACATCTGCGTTTGCTTGCCTTCCAAACATACTAACATACTTTACTGCGTATTTTGACGCAGATGAAAAGTGTGAGAGGACTCCTGAATAATATTTCACATGGATGAGAAAGGCTCCGTTCGAGAGTGTGTTGCTGTCCATCACACGCTGCCCTGTGACCCGGGTGTAGCTCTGGAGTTATGTAAGCGCTTTGGCTTCTATTCCGGAGAACTGGATCCTGACTTGGTCAAAAATGATTGACATTCCAGAGTATGGCATCTGTTTCCCCAAGTGAGAAGAGGTTCTTGTCAGGTCTCATCATTCTGTGAGAATGTGTTTTATATTTTATCAATGGTGACGAGGGTGAGGGAAAGATGCATCAGTTGTGCATGCTCTTTCTTTCTCACCATCTCTACGCTGTTTAAGCCTGATGGACAACATAAACAACACACCTTCACTGAAGTATAATGTATGATTGGAATAAGAATTCATTTCATTTCATTTTGATGCTAACCCAAACTTCACAAGATAGGGTGGTTAAAGCTGGAGCCAAAGCTTTTTTGTTTCATAAATACATTTTGTTTGACATGAAGTCAAGTAGAATTTTGTAAAAAAAATCAGACCTCAATTAGCAATCTTCATCTTGTTGGAAAACATTTGATGTTTTACATTCTCTGAGCTGATTGGCTGAGTGAGGATGCTCCACTCTTTATCCCTGAAAAAGCTGATGTGACAGCAGTAAAAAAATAATGTAGTGTAGTTTTTTCGGATTTGCACTCAAAAACTCCAGAGAAAGCTCCTGACCAGAGCAATTGTATTAGATTTGGACATTTGAAAACAATACTCAATTTGAGGTCAGCTCATTAGCAGTCAGCCAACATCGATTTTGCTGAATACAGATAGGTCTTCACCATCTGTGCGACAGGAAATACTTAATTTTACACATTAGCTTTTCATGTGAATGGCAGAATTTTGTTATGAATATTTGGTTGTTCTTTTATTCATGTTATTTCCTGTTTGCTGGACACTGCAGAAATGTCAGGATATTTAAAATGGGTAAATTTGCACATAAATAACTTTGGCAACGATTTTGCGCAAAAACCCTGTCTGCTTTTCATTGTAGTTATTTGGCAGATAGCTCAATACTTTGTATCTCTATGAATCTTTTTATCCTTCCCAAACCCTCAAAAGGCCAAAACCTACAATGAATGCATAAAACGTTCTGAGAAAATCAGACTAAGGAGCTCCACCCTGTTTTTCTGCTTTAGTATTTCCAGCTGTATTTCCTCCACACAGCGGCTATCAGTGGACCCAGCCCTGCGCCCCTCGTCCCACCTACACCCCTTCCTCTTGTGTGTGTCTGCCTTTCTGGAATCCTCAGTGCTAACCTGGACAAACACAGCTGAAACTTCATAATGCTTTTAAGTTTTTATGTTTCCATGGAAACATCATGAAGGCTTTTATTAAATCTTAATGAATTATTACAGTATAATGGGCCAAAGGTAAATGTCAATGAGACAAGCTTCTAATGAACATATTGTGTTTAGCCACTCATCCTTTATGTTTCTTTCTCCTGCAACTCTCGCTATTTTTTATCTGCGGTACATAACTTAAAAACTACAAAACAATTGACGTTACAGCTAGCTAGAAACAAAGCAGCTACTTATATTGTATATTTTGTGTGCTCCTTCTGTGCTCTTACTACTGTCCTGTATATGCGCTGCAACACTGAAATTTCCCTGCTGTGGGACGAATAAATACTCTTATCTTATCTCATCTTAAAACTATCACTAGTTTTCACATGCATTTCTCACATCTTTAAAGCAACTTTTTAGACAGAAATGTGGAAAACAGAGGACCACCCTCCTCACCCCAAAAGATCAAATAATGTCTCAAAGTGCTATTTCTTGCTAAAGGTAGCCTGTTTTATAATAAGTTCACATTTAACACTTTCTTTTGGGACAAACATGTGTAACACAAAAGAGTTAAGGTACCACAACTTACTCTCTTTCAAATCTGTCCTATATTGGCAAGTCTGCGTGGATTATAGCCCTGCCCTTCTTTCAGAGCCTCCAAGCAAAACCTGTTTGTTTCCCCTGTCGTCATAAAAATGTAAACTTCATACTTCCCTCCTGTGTGAACCCTGACACTTACTCCTCATGGCGTCGTCTTCCTACAGTAGACACCAGTATATTTATAAACACATGCCAAGACTTCTTTACTGCTAATCAGAGAAAAAAGTAAAGGAGAAATCATTTTGATTTGCCCATGTTGGCACTGAACTTGATTGCATTGTTGAATGTGTGTTCACAGATAAAGGAGCTGCCTCGGGCCCCACTGTAGGCATTGTGTTTCTTAACAATTTCCTGGCCTCAGGGACCCTTTCATTGCTTTTTTTTTTATGAATAGAAAGACATTCCTTAGTGCTTCCGTCACTAAAGAGTTGAAATTTGGGGTAACTCCCATGGGCTGGACATAAAACTGCAATCTTTTTCATTGTCTCCACCCAACCGTTCCATCTTTAAAGCTTCTCAAGATTTTCTAAATATGATACGTCTTCAAATCATTTACCAATAGTTTAATCTCCTTGTTTTATCCCATTCTCTGATTCCATTTTTCTATATCTGCAGAGGACACAGTGTTCCTGGATGATGAGGATGAAAGGAAGGAATATGTACTCAATGATATTGGAAGGATATACTATGGCACAGAGAAACAAATCGGCGCTCGCACTTGGAATTTCGGGCAGGTACTATCGGCTCTGAAGACAAGATGTGACTTGAAATGACTTGTGAATTGTGACTGCCTGCTTTAATGCTACACTGTTAGTTCATGATTTTCACCATGGGGTAATTTCTGAAATCATTAGATGACTCACACAACCTTTGATAGACAATTGCAGTTATTTTATGACAAATTGGATTTTTGATGTAAAGGGTTAGAGGTACATCCTATTCTGAGATAAAATACGTTGCATTTGTATGTCGTAGTTTCACGAGGGGATGCTTGAAGCCTGCCTGTTCATTCTGGAGAAAAGTGACATGCCTCCATCTGGTCGCGGTGATGCGGTCAATGTGGTCCGAGTTATCTCTGCCATGGTGAGAACACATTTCTTTTCAGCTTTATTCATTGTGCATTATGCTGATGTATGAACGATTATTTAAGCCAGTGCTTCCCAAATAGAGGATTGCAAAATGACTTTAGATGTTTTGATTCTTGAAATTATTGCCACTTTCAACTGTTGTATGCATTTATGTATTCATTTTTTATATAGTGGGGGTCACAAGTAAGGTTACACTGCATATTTTGGGGGTTCCTGTACAAAATGTTGGGGGAAGTCTGCTTTAAATAACTCCACATAACTCCAACTTCTCACCAACCCATGCCATCTGCAAATAGCTGGATGCATCGTAAAATGTAGCTAGCTTTCAATGCAACAGAATCAGTCAGGTTAAAGAAAGTATTTTGATAGCTAGCTTGTGCCGAGCTGGTGACAGATGGTATACACACGGAAGGACAACATGTAACACACACACTCTTTGCAGATTAATGCCCAGGATGACCATGGTGTGTTGGTGGGGAACTGGTCAGGGGATTATTCGGACGGTGTGTCTCCTAGCGCTTGGAGCAGCAGTGTGGAGATCCTGAGAAAATACCACTCCTCCTATGGCACGCCTGTGTGTTATGGACAATGCTGGGTCTTTTCGGGGATCACTACAACAGGTGCGCACCCATTAAAACCACACACATGCAGGAGGTGTGAAGGTTAATACAACACAAAGTGAACAGCTCTGTGCATGGACTGTCACAAAGGTTGTCCGAAGTTCACTTTCTGTTTATATTTTGACCCATGCTGGCCTTAGTGTATCAGGCTCTTTTCATTAAGCTTGCTGTAACAGTACTCTTCATTCATTGAACATGCAGGCAGTGTCCCTCACATGATAGCGCGCTGACCCAAGCACATAGCGCTTCCCCTGATAGCAGGCTGGAGCACATACACACCTAAAATACATCTGCATTCCAGCCATTCCACTCCTACTTTATCCAACACTTAGACCAGCATGTGTGGCCTTCAATCAACCTGGATAATAACAGTAATAAATAACTACTATTCTGGGAAGATCTGATATTATTGTTGAAAATCATCATTGCAATGTATGAACCATAAAATAGAGCCGTCATAAAGAGATTCAGGAAAATGATTTCCTTTCAAAAATAGCACAACCTGCAATTTGACAGTTGTTGTGACAATCATGTTATTTCCTAATTTTCATCCAATTGCCGTTCATGAAACTGATGCTAGTTGTTGCAAAATGAAAACATTGTTAAATGGAAAAGTTATTTAGAAATACAGCATCAACAGAATAGAGACTATAACAGACATGGTCTTAATAATTATTGTAAAAGTAATACCCTTGTTGTTGCCATCACATTATTATTTATTTCTTTATTTCAAAACCTGCACATTTGACAAATGTTCAGACACATATGTTCAAGGTTTGAAAAGGGGTTGGATGAAGCACTATGCTTATTTTAGCCCAACCCTCTCACCCACACAACACCCGTCAAAATAATCCAAAAATCACATTACAAAGTACTACTGTCAATACAACACTACCACCAATGGTATACAAGAATACTACTGTACATTTTGCCAAGAATTTCAATACAATACTACCACCAATGGTATACAAAAAAAAAAAAAAAAAAAAAAAAAAAATATATATATATATATATATATATATATATATATATATATATATATATATATATATATAAAGCCCCCACTGAAAGATCAAGGCTATGCTCACACTCAGAGAGCAGCCGTCCTCCTGTGGACTCACCACCTGCAGAGGGTCAGTGAGGGGCTGGTGCTATGAGACTTGGGTGGCATCTCTGACTGCCACCCCCCTGACCCAGAAATGGATTATATATATATATATATATATATATATATATACATATATATATATATACATATATATATATATATATATAGAAAAAAAACAACAACAAAAAACAACCCATGCGCATACACGCACATTCACACACACACACACACACACACACCCGAACACTCTGACCCCACCCCTCTCTGCCATCACTCGCTCTGTGCTGAGGGCATCACTCTCTTTCCTCCTTGTATTTCTTTAGTACATATTTTTTAAACAAAGCTTTAAATTGAGTCAGATTTGTACTATTTTTAAGTTAATCCTTTAAGGTATTCCATAGAGAAACTCCTCGCACTGAGACACACATTGACTTTAAAGTGGTCCTAAATTTAGGCAAGTATACATTTTTATTTCCTCTTAGTCTATGACTATGATGCGCGTCTCTGTCACGAAATAAATTCTGATCATTATCAGGAGGTTATTACTGCTTCATTCACATCAATGTTTTTTCTCCAGTTTTGCGTTGCCTTGGTATACCTGCTCGCAGTGTGACAAACTTCCAGTCCGCTCATGACACAGATGTGTCACTCACCACAGACGTCTATTTTGATGAAGATCTTGAGCCAATCGACTACCTCAACAAAGACTCTGTTTGGTAAGAAGATGTTATCAAACAGGTGGTAGTGGAGGGCCTGGGTCTGGAGATCCATCTCAACGGGGCTGTACTTAAATAGAAACAGTATACAAATACTAGAATTATACAGTTCTACATAATGCCAAGGGACTGTAATATTAATTCATAGTGGCTCTCATTGACTCCAAGGTGACCCAAATTTCAGAATTCAGAATATAGGGATCTGGAATAGGTGCAATTGTTCCATGTCACTGTTTTAAAAGTGTATGGTGTCTGGGGTCAATAACCTTATCAGGTTAACTGTAGGAACTTCCATGTGTGGAACGACTGCTGGATGGCCAGACCAGACCTGCCGCCAGGGCACGGAGGCTGGCAGGCTGTGGACTCTACTCCTCAGGAGACCAGTCAGGGCACCTTTCGCTGTGGTCCAGCCTCTGTCAACGCGATTCGCACGGGACAAGTCTACCTCAAGCATGACACACCTTTTGTATTTGCGGAGGTAAGGGAGTGACAATCTTTTTAAGATGTATTGTTTTAATTGCATTCATTGTCTTATGTCTGTCCATTCAGGTCAACAGTGACAAGATCTACTGGCAGAGAAACTTAGATGGGACATTCAGTCAAATCTTCAGTGAGAAGAAAGCAGTGGGTCACTTTATCAGCACTAAAGCTGTGGATTCTGACGAGCGTGCAGACATCACACACCTGTACAAACACCAAGAAGGTAGTTTTGCACGTCTTTAAAATTGTGACTTATTTTTACTTTACGTTTATTTGAGCCATGCTTTATTTGGAAGAAGTATGTAATATGCTTTAAACATTCAACTTCAGACAATCTGTGATTTTTTAATCTTATCTCCACTACAGGTTCAGAAGAGGAGCGCATTGCAGTGGAGACAGCCAGCCGCTATGGCAGTAAGCCAGATGCATACTCTACTCCTAGTGCTGAGGATGTGACTGTGGAGGTCAAGATGGACGGGGAAGGACCCCAGATGGGAGCGGATGCACAGCTCAGCATTGTAATAAAGAACACAAGCTCAGAACCACGTCAGACCACTCTCCACAGCCAGGTGGCGGTCATGTACTACACTGGTGTGCTCAAGGGGACCCTAAAGAAGGAGCAGGTGCCAGTGGAACTTCAGCCCAATGAAGGTGAGCTCCAGCTAAGCTTTATTGGAAAAGGCATTGTAATTATGGCACACTTTATTGGCCAGCGGGCTGTCTTTTTCACTATACTGAACTTTCACTGTAAAATTTGCTGTTAAAACCATGATTAGAACTTAAATTATTTTCATCATTTTTTTTTCCCATAGAGAAAATTATTGACTGGGTGCTCCCATACCAGCAGTACCAGAACCAGTTGGTGGACCAGGCAGCCCTGATGCTGACCCTCTCTGGTCGAGTCAATGAAACCCAGCAGGTGTTAGCTAATCAGACCACGTTCAGGCTTCGGACTCCAGATCTGACAATCAAGGTATGTGTACTTTTTATTATTTGTTCATTTGATAGGGACAATGTAGTCATACATAGTTACATTAGGAAAGATGCAGCTGATGCTTGTATAAAGGCATTCAAACACCATGGATTGATTTGACTCATCAAATGTGTATTTTTGTTTTTTGTAGCCAGTGGGCGCTGCTGTGGTTGGTAAGGAGATGGCGGCCAAAATTGAATTTACCAACCCACTGCCACGGACGCTGAAGGATGTTGTGTTCAGAGTGGAGGGCCTGGGTCTGCAGAAGGGCCATGTGGTTGTTGTGGGGTAATGCATTATGTGATGATTTGATTTATTTGTTGTATTATTGCAACATTGTTTTAAACCTTGAACCTCCCCTTCCGTGCTCCCAGGGATGTAGGAGGCCTTGCTACAGTGACACTGACGGAGCACTTCATCCCCACGCAGCCCGGACCCAGAAAGCTGGTGGCGTCTCTGGATTGCAAACAGCTCACTCAGGTCCATGGAGTGGTTGATATTGTTGTCCATGAGCAATAAATTCTTCTGAGACTACAATTTTACTTTCAAATGTGGACTTCATGCACAATGTATTACGACCATGTGCCTACTTTATATAACAAATTCCTAAATTATATATTTGTATTTAATCACACTGATATAAAGATGATTGTATTCAGTATTATGTATAACTTGAAGTATTGAAGTTTCTTTTATGAAATATGGTTTTCTGACTTTGTACAGAGAAAATGCACATTTCTTTATAACAAAAGTGTTAAACCACTGTATATTGACTAACACTGACCTAACAAATATTTGAAGGTAAAATCTATATTTGTTAGTTTGTGTGCCAAAAGAAATCTTTAAAATCAAATCAAGCTGTCAGCAATGAAGGGTACTGTGAAGTTTTGTAACATAAAATATATTTTGAACATCTTCGCTGAAGATGCAATTTATTACTGTTTCACCAATACTTTTCTTGTATGTTTTGTGGTCACTCACTTTTCATTCAGCACCAATAATGTGAAGGAATTCTCTCTTGATAGAACACTATTTATGTAACTGTATTTTGTATTGTTCACCTTAATAAAATACTTCAGATGAAGCAGTTGTACATTTGTCATTACGTCACATGCGTTATTTAATTTTTCAAACTTAAAAAAATATATTAATTCACTGAACTGCATTTACTTATGATTTTATTACAATGACGCTATTATATAGAGAATTAAACGTTTGTGAAGTGGTTGATCAATTTAAAAAATCTACATTCAAGTTTACCAAATGAAAGTGCTATACATGTTTGCCAGCATAAATGTCGCATCACTAAAACAATACATCAAGAAAACATCTGTAAAATACTCAACAGCCTTTATGCAGCATGCTGACCAGAGTGCCCTGTTACTGACCTCTAATGGTGAGGTAATTAAGTGCATGTCATCTGTATAAAAACGTTTACACAAATTTTTATAGCCACTAATAAATACAATGCACTCATTACAAAACAGGCGTAAGGCAGAACTTGATGGATTTTTTTTAGGCACATAATGTTACAGAAGTATGATGTATTCACTGTGGTGTTGAAAATACACACATATATATATATATATATATATATATATATATTCAATTCATAACCTTGTATCCACACAAATAGGTCTAAACAAAATATGTATGGACTTTTTTTCTCTTACATTACTTACAAGACAAGAAAGGCTGGTTAGAATATTCTATAGAGTGCTCTCAGTCTGATAGCGTAGACCTTGCAAAACAACAGTTCAGTCAGTCCACTGTGTTGCATATATTTTCCACAGCCTCGTTGAATAAATGTGGCTGATCAGCATAGACGTGATGGGCGGCATCGTTTATCAGCTGGAAGCAGAGAGCGAGAGAGAGAAGTAATACAAGTCATCTTCAGACATTTGTAAATGTTTATGGATACAAATATGAGGTAATAATTGCTTAAAACAAGTGTTTTCTCTACAAAAAGATCATTCAGCCTGTTGCATTGGCCAATCCTGTTTTAAGGCAGTCAAAATATGCTCAAATTATAACACTTTTTGTGAAATTTAGCATTTTTTAAGCGTATTTTTCATGACTTTTTTGCAGTGCAGTGATTATGTACAAATGTAATTGTGAAACTGGTCAAAGTCTTACACCTGTAGCAGCATCTGGATTTGTCACTGATATAATTACCTGTCCTGGTTGGCCACCTGTGTTTTTCATTACTGCATGAATAACTGAATCATGCTCACCTCTACTTTGGTGTGACTCTGATTTCTGATCTGGGCCACGTCTTCTCCCGATGAGCTGCTGACCCATGACTGAGCCCCATAGAGAATAGTGAGGGGCATTTGAGGAGGCAATAAGTGAACACGGTGCAGCATGGGTCTCTTCGACCAGCCCAGGCCCTCAGACATCGCTCGAAAACCCACTTCACCACTGCCAAAAAATGAAAAGGTGATTAAAAATAATATCACATTTTATATTTTACAAGTTACATTTGTAAGAGAATTGAAAAAACCTTGGGCTTTGTGCGTTACAGTGGTAGATGTACTGTGTGACAGTGTCATCATCAAACAGATCCTCATACCGCCTTTTAAAATCTAGTCGAAATCTGTTTACAAGACCTGGACCTAAGATGAAACATACAGTATGACTGTGATGAGAGGGCTGATGGGGTCCAGCTTTTAAAGAGAAAAGCATTTGTAAACACGCCTCACCCCAGGGCCCCGCTGCTCTGATGACAGCCAGAGGGTTGAAGTGAGAAAGTACTGATGCAACAGCCTTGACCCAACGCGGAGGACCGGGCCGCTTTATCACCTCTTTACCCAAGGACTGGTCCGTCTGTGGCTGAGGTTGCTCTGGAAAGCCCCAGGGGTCGACAAGGATGAGGTGTGATACTCTGCAATAAATACATGCATTTTGTTTTTATTTTGTTCCTGTCATAAAAACAATATGAAACATCAAAACAAAATAACTCAAAATGAACAATGCTAAAACAATTCATTGGAATGACTGGAATGATTTATTCTGCATTATACCTTGAAGGGTACTGGATTGCATATGAAGTGGCCAAATAGCCTCCAAGACTATGACCCAACAAAATCATGTGTTCAAGGCCCACAGCCTCTCGCCATTGTTCAATCGAGTTGACAAATTGCTCTTCAGCCTCAGTGGAGTCTGAAGAGAAGTGAGGCCTGGAACTTCTGCCAAAACCCAAGAGGTCAAAGGCGTACACAGGCCGTGATCGGCTGAGTGCATCCAAGTTCCTGATCCAGAGCCCGACTCCTCCTCCAAAACCATGCACCATAACAAGAGGCGTTTTGGCCACTGTGGTGAGAAACATATTGGTCATTATGATGAAGCTATAATGAAACATCACATTACATTTCATTCAAACCTTGTTCAGGGGGTTTGCGAGCCATCTTGTTTGACACCGTCAGAGTCCATATTCTGTCTTGGTAGGGTAGGGTTACAAACCTGGCCCATAAATCATTCTGTATGCCTGATGGGACATAAAATAATGAAGACATGTCTCGAACTGGTATTCATTTATACAAATACTAAACAACTCTTACAAGCAAGGATTTTTGACTCTGTGGTTTTCAATAAAGACATTGAGGTTGGACGCCAAGATGGCCACCAGTTCCAGACAAAATTGGATCTAGGAAGGAAAATAAAACATTTACAACATAAACTGCAAAGGACTGTTCAGAATCAGCACTGAATCTATAAAACAAAGGAACATACTTATATAAGATAAAATACACAAACACACAAGGCAATACAGATGGCTTTGTCTTGTTACCCCCACAAACACAATGTACGTTAAATATTTACGTGACAGACAATCAAAAAGTTACAGAAGTATTTGGTTTCATTTTCTCCGGGTGCATTTAATGGCCTTTAAAGGTTGTCTGATAAATGGCAGAATGTAGAGTAGACCTGGTGTTTAAGTAGTATCCACTGGAGTGTATTCTAATCTCAGTATAGCTGTTATTATAGCTATTCTCTGATGGTCTCAGATGTTAAGAGAATATTGGTCACTAAACGTTATCATTAAGTCAAATAAAAAATTTAAGGCATGGTGAGATTTCACAAATATTTCCTATTCTTTAAACATCCGACATCTCACAGACCACTGTTCCATCCAGCATCTGGGAATGGAAAGAGTATTACACTGCAAGGCATTCTGCCAAAACTAATAGGCCAAACAAAACAGCACTGATCAGAGATGTGGCCCTGGGGCTGCTTTTCTTCAGCAGGGTGTCAGGAGAAGTGGAAGAAACAAAATAAAGGGCAATGTTGGAAGAAAAGCAGTTGGAGTTTGCAATTGACTCCATCAGGACTGTTTCACACACAAAAATAAGTATTTTCAGGGGCCTAATTAAAAACAAAAGATTTTCATGTGTTCGAATGACTCAAACCAGATCTAAATACTTTGTCATTGTATCATTACAACACAACTTAATTGTTTTACATGTTGCATTTAATGCCAATTGTCTGCCACTGTGTTGGTCTACGAAATACTCAAAAAAGGTCGAAACAACACAAAACGTGGATAATTCCCTGGGGTGTTAATAAGTTTAAATGCAATGACAAATGCACAGACAAGCATCTGGATTGGTTGTACTATTGTGTCAAGTGATCTTTCCACATCTTTATCATCACGTGGGGGCAGCTACAGACATTCAGTACAATCAACCAGTGTAAATAATAACCACAACACACCCTCTTTCTTATGTAATGAAAGTCTTTGAAGTTGTGATACAGCTAGCTAATACGTATATCAACAACATAACATAATATGCAGCGTTAGTGAAGTAATTGTTCATCCATTGAAAGCAAATGAGGAAAATTACCTCTTACAGGTTCGTCAAATACTGTAGTTGGCTGTCTGAGTAACATTAGGTAAGCTTATACATAACAGCAATAATATTAAAGCTACACCATCAGATGTAGATGTTTACATATAACTAGGTCAATATTATTGTATTAGCTACGTGTGCCAAATAGGAGGTGACAAAACGTCTTTAAATGCCCACAAAACACAAACAGTCACAGATATTATTAAAAATAAAACAAGTACTTACTCTGATGTCTCACAGTCGTTTTGTACAGGTTCTATGGTTGTAGTTGTCTCCATTGGAAGCATAATCCGCCAAACATATGAAAACAGCGATATTAACTAAACAATCTACAGAACTAGTGATGTTTTGTAACTCGCTCATGCCGAGGTCAGTTGGCAACACAACAAAGATCGTTTAAGACAGAGCTCTCACACCTCTGCACCGTTGCAGGCACACCGGTGACGGTATGCTTGCAATTTTGTTTATATTAAATGAACGTTTCTACCATATGAGTATACTATATTTTACATTATTTTCTAGTATGATCGAAATATACTGTTAAAATAATAAAGTATGAACAGGAGGAGTAGGACGTCTGTTTTTAGACTACGGTGGGCGTTCAAAATAACCTTTCGTTTATTATGTTTATATTTGTATTTATATATTTATTAATGCTTGCACAAGTGTGTCTAATGTTTTGACCCAATTAATGAAAAATGATCCGCCCCGTAAATACAAGAAATGAAAAGGGAATAAGAGAAAATAACAAGAAAATAAAAGGGAACCGTGTAGACGTCACAGTCGGAATATGTTTTATGTAGCACCGACTCATTTCCGGTTGTAGTGGACACGTCACTTTTCAGACCTAGGAAAAGCTCATTTTCTTATTTGACAGGTTTTGTAGACCAAAAACATGTCAAATTCAGTCTTATCGGTTATTTCGCGGTTTCTTGAGGAGTACACCACCACGACCCCCAACAGGCTGAAGGTGGTGGATGCATACTTGCTGTACATCCTGTTAACCGGAGCGCTGCAGTTTCTCTACTGTCTGCTGGTCGGCACATTCCCATTCAATAGTTTTCTCTCTGGGTTCATCTCGTGCGTGGGATGTTTCATTTTGGCAGGTATGAAAAAGTGCATCATTGTAACTCTAAGGCACATTGTTGATTGACTTGGAGAGTACCACGGCATGCTAAGCTAGGATGCTAACATTTCTTGTAGCAACAGAACCATCCTAGAATATTCCTACTAATAAATACTAGCAGTCGGGACTAGTATAGGCAATAATATGAAAGAGCTGCTACCTTTAAAGATATTGAATGATTTGGCAATGTGATATTTTTTATTGCATTCGTGTTCATAACTATTGGTAAATTATTATGCTGTAGAAATACTAATTCATGTGTGCTATTTCTTTTCAGTGTGTCTCAGGATCCAGATCAATCCACAGAACAAAGGAGACTTCCTGTCTGTCTCCCCAGAGAGGGCATTTGCTGACTTTCTCTTTGCTCACACAGTGCTTCATCTGGTTGTGATGAACTTTATTGGTTAAAGCTTACTGAATTGCAGGTCTGTATTACCTTTTTATGAGTTATGTTTCACAGCACACCCCTTTGTTATAAGAGAACCTATTTTTGTTTATTTTCAATGTTGCGTTACACCATTCAAGAACGCTGGGAATAAAGGAAGCATAAAAAATATATGAATATCTGTTGAAATATGTGGACATTATCCCCAATCTGTAGGAACACATTCTATAAAACAGGCGGTTAAGACCAGAATAAAGAAGTGACAGAACACTCTGATACAATATAGCTCTTATTACTAACAGTGAAAGACATGTTCATGTTTATCAGTGTTCTTCTAAAATTACTAATACTTATTTGTTTGCAATTCTAACTTTTAAAATCATATTGATAGTTAGAATATTTACCTAATATTTGCTAATATATTAGAGAGGGGAGACATATTGATAGAAATGATTGTATAAATATTAATAATAATAATGGCAAGGCAAGTTTATTTGTATAGCACAATTCATACACAAGGCAACTCAAAGTTCTGAACAAGACAAAATAGCATTAAAATCATAAATAATCACAGAACATTAAAAAGAAAGATAAAAATATGAAATCCCTCAGTTGTATGCACAGCTAAACAGAACTGTCTTTAACCTGGTTTTAAACATTGTCAGAGAGGAGGCCTGTCTCACATCTTCAGGAAGAATGTTCCAGATTTTAGCAGCATGAATCTGAAAAGCAGCCTCCCCATGTTTAGTTCTGACTCTGGGCACTAACAGGAGTCCAGTCCTTGTGCTCCTCAGAGTCCGGGCTGGTTCATATGGGACTAACATGTCACTAATATATTTTGGTGCGAGGCCATGGAGAGACTTGTACACAAGCAGAGCTGTTTTAAAGTCTATTCTCTGAGCCACAGGAAGCCAGTGCAGAGACCTGAGGACTGGACTAATGTGGTCGTACTTCCTGGTTCTAGTCAGGACACGAGCTGCTGCATTTTGAATGTACTGCAGCTGTTTTACAGCCTGTTTGGACAGACCTGTGAGCAGGCCATTGCAGTAGTCTAACCTACTGGAGACAAATGCATGGATAAGAATCTCCAGGTCTGCTTTAGACACTATGTTTTTGATCCCAGCAATGTTTTTTAGATGGTAAAAAGCTGCTGATGTTACTGATTTGATGTGGCTATTAAAATTTAAGTCTGAGTCCAGTATTACCCCTAGATTTCTGACCTGGTTTGAAGGTTTTAGGGAGAGAGACTGTAGGTGACAGATGACTCTCTCTCTTAATAACAGGAGAAACAACCTTCTCAGCTCCTTGAGTGGCTTTGCCAACATTTTCCCAATGTGGGATGAATAAAGGTTCTCTTCTTTTATATTGGAAAACTATTAATTACCTCAGATCTACAAGTTACTTTTGAAACTCAACACATTTTCCATGAATAATTTATGTGGCAGACCTTTAGTGACCTTTCCATTTTTCCTTTACAGAGAGCCAGAAGAGGGATCCCTCTGAAGTTATCTGACCTCGACACATGCATTCACTGTCAAATGCCCAACGCAGTTAAATTTTCTTACTGATGACGGATGATTTTGTTTTTTTATGTGAATATTTCTAAGTCACTAACATCATACTCTTTTGGCACAAATAAAAGTTGCATGATGTAAAATGCCTTAACTTTTTTTTTTTTTAAGTAATAATCTAATGTTCTTACAGCACCTAATGATCTCATTTTTCATAGTTAGTTCAAGTCATGTGTGTAAAAAAAGAGAAAAAAAGGGACATTTATTCACCATCAAAACTAGGCTGATCAGCAGGCCCCTCTATGTATTCTTTTTTGGGCAAACCCCAAAGTGGGCTTCTCTTCTGGGAGTCAAACTGGAATGGCCTCCGAGCACAAGGTGATGCTCTGAGTGTTCAGAAAAGCCTGCAGAGGGCAGAGTGGATACTCAGAGCTGTAGTTACATCAGGTAACGGACATGTTTATGTCCCCACAGTCCAAACCATTAGCACGCACATTCTATTGATGTTATTCATGCTTTCAGAATAGAAGAGTTGGACTGGACTAAATGTTAACAGTCATCAAGGCAAGTTTATTTGTATATCACAATTCCTATACAAGGCAACTCAACTTGCTGAACAGAATAAGATGGACACAAAGCATTAAAATAATGAATAATAAAAGAGTACAGGTAAAATCCTTCAGTTGAATGCCAAGCAAATATAACTGTTTTTAACCTGGATTTAAACGTGAGATTATAGGCCTGTCTCACATTTTCTGGAAGACTGTTCCAGATTTAGATGGATCTTTAATGCAAGTGCTACAGGCTATAGCTGCTGTTTTATTCCACTTTTCTGTCTGCACCTTTCGTTAAAAAATTGGCATAAAACCTACATTTGTATCATTTTGAAAATATTAAGTTGTAATTGTGCTTTTTTGGCTTTAAACAACATAGTGCTGGGTAGTACTTAAAAGGGAACTAGTTCGCTCTAGTTTTGTTTTCTAACAAAACATTTTGATTAGACTTTTCCTGGGGTTTTGAATATGGAATTTTACTTTCAGAACAAACTGCCCACTGCAGCTCCTGATGTAAGTTTGTGCTCCATCCACCACCAATCGTTCTCACACACCAACTCATTATTGACAATGTGGGTGAATTGTCTTGCTTAAAGACACAATAACTTTACAGCCGCAGCCGCCGCACTGGCACCTGGTGTTCACCCAGAGTTCTCCCAGCACACTGAATTTTTCCTATTTTAGTAGAAAGTAATTGTATTGTGTTTAGTAAATGCTGAACATAACATCACAGGGCTATGCAAATCATATTTTTTCAATTTTAAATCAAGGTTAGTTTTGAGATTTTCCTTGCCTTTGACATTTGTGTAGCATAACAACATTAGACATGGCAGTTGGAAGCAGACATACTTTGATCTGGTCTTGCTAAATAATTACTGGGGTTGAGGAAATCAATTGTAAGACGTGCATGCTAAGGGTTGACATTTATTCCTGGCCAGACTCTACATTGTGCATTTATGGCCCAAGCAGAAAGCAACTGGCTCCAGGGACATCCTTGACTCAACTGCACAGTGCTTTGCAATAATTGTTTGTTAAATGACTGGGCTGAGGCTGTATGTGTGTATCAAATTAATCCGGCAAATGAACACTGGACACAGTCCAAAGCACACAGGCATCAAAATCAAATAATTCTGTTGGAGCCTGCCAAAATCCTTCTCTGCTTAGAGAAGCAGCGCAATGGACAACTTCGAAAAATTGAGCGTTAAGTAAGACTTGCACTCAAATCATGACAAAAAAGTAGAATTAATGAACCGAACGTTTTAAGACCATCTGTTGATTCAAATAAAGGTCAGAGACGTGGAACCTTTTAATTATAATAATGATAATTATATAAAAATATAATGATAAAAAGAGATGGCTGTGTTCACAGTAAAGTGTCACTGAAAGTATCTGGACTTTGAAAGGTTCTAACTCAGAAACTAAAATTACTATAATAGATTAGAAAAACAGATTTCAAACACAGACATGTCAAAGAGATAGTGTGGATAAAATTAAAAGAAAAGATTGACAAATTCATTTTTTGCAAAATTTTAAACACCCTAATCAGCCTCTGATTTGCAAATGAACTCCCACGAGATTAACACGACTAACACAACATAAGTAAATCATAAGGTCTTCACAAGTTAATTTAAGACATAATAATATAGTTAATATAAAAAACACACACACAAACACAAGAATAAAATGCGGTACATTCCAGTGCAAACAGACTTAACTTTACACTGCACTGGTCACGAGTGAAAGGTGGCATGTGCTGTGACAGTATTATTTAGTATTATTAGTATTTACTATTTTAGAGTTCAGTCTTGTGGCAGCATTTTGTATAATCTGTAGGCAGTCAATTTGTTCTCTGTTAAGGACAACAACAAGTGCACTATGGGTCTGAGCTTTGGTTTGTTTCAGAAGTGGAAGAGTCAATATTTGGATGCACTGCTCGACATTCAGTGAATCTTGGACTTTAAAGTCTCCAAGTTCTGAAAAATCCGGTTAAATTTGTTAACCTGATTTATTTTAAGTCAGCTGTAGATTTTTTCTTTTTTGAGCTTATGTCTGAATTGCTGCAAGACAATTGAGCAGAATTATAAAATTACTACTTTAGTGGTGAACAGTAAAGTATAATTGAATGTCATCAGCATATATGTGGTCAGTGAGGAAGTAATGTTTATTTTTATAGCGCATTATATTGACCAAGGTCACCCAAAGCACTTTACAATGAGTACAGGTATGATATGATAGGTCTGTAGTTTCCAGGTTTGACACATGGCTCCATCATCTGTTTGACACCTCCATGAGGCACCAGAAGATCCAGGACACACTGGAGGGAAACTTCAGGATTCTCCAGGAAGAACTGAAGGAAGTGTCTGGGGAGGTGGTAGTCCCATTCATGAGTTTGGTTTATGAGGATTGAACACAATCTTGTGAATTCTGGGATCTCAACAGTTAACATCTGGCACATCTGGATCCTATCAGTGGTCACGTGACAGTAGGGAAGTAGAGGCTCCAGCGGAACCTGCGTTTTGGGAGAAGATATCCAAGAATTGTATTTCAATTAGGAATATTAGGCATGCTCCAGCACTTCACACTTACTTTTTGCCTTTTACAATGGATTCAAGGTAAAGTAACTCAAGAGCAAACAGCTGAACCTTTTCATGCTGTCAACATTAACGTACGGTGCTTTTGGTTTCAACTTCCCAACAGACTCAGCTCACAGTCACACAGAGCTTGTCTCCAGGGGCTGAAGTTTTATTATGTATGTAGTTGTTAAGGGCTTGCTTCACACGTTAGAGCTTGATCATCATAACTGCTCAGGTATTTCAGCAACACTTGAAAGTAGAGTAGTCTTAAATAAAAAATACTTAAATCCATTCCATAGAAAGAGAATTTGATTATTTTCTATTCAAGTCTTTTTAGTTGTAAAATATAAGTCATGTTTATTTTGAAAAGCCAACAAAAGGTTTATGTTTTTTGCTACAGTCTCTATTGTGTGAAGATAATCCATTTACTCTGAACAGATACATTTCTGACATGTGTAGAGTAACATAGCCATAGCCATAAAATATGGAGCAAGAATTGGCCGTGGGCTAAATATGCATTTCCAAACATGTACAATTGTGGATTTCCTGCAAGATAGAAAAGCATTTTGACTCTATTGGGAAATTTGATATACAGTAACTAAATGATCATGTCAACTTGAGTCAAGCAATAACTTTTCCTTGCCAGAGGAGACATTTACAATAAAAAGGAAAAAATATGTTTCCATACATAGTTAAAAAAAAGTACCTACAAAGTACATATTTAAAATAAAATAAAATGATAATATATATATTTTTATTTGACCATGTTAGTATAGGTTGCACTGCCTGCACAACACTCACAAGATATAAAAGCATAGCTGCAGGATTCTCTCCTGATACTTAGGAGCATAGCTAACCACTTCAATTAACATAGCTTTGTGGATTTGAGCTTTTTATGTCTTAAAGAGTCACCAGAAAAAACAACATTCACCTTGTATATTATCTGATCTCTAAACATGTAATATTGAACTTTATTTCAGTCTGTCTGTGCAGTGTCACCACAGACCCGGAGTTTGGTGTTCTGGAGGGCAGGAATCTCACTGTTCCATGCCATTATGAGCCTCAGTATGCTGGATATGTAAAGTACTGGTGCCGTGGGCGCATGAAGGAGTTCTGCACCAGCCTGGCCCGCACAGATGAGCCCAGCCCTGACATCTCAACACTCTCAAAGCAGAAAGTCACAATTTATGACGATCCGGTGCAATTGGTTTTCTCTGTGACCATGACGCAGCTGAAGGAGGAAGACTCTGGCTGGTACATGTGCGGAGTGGAGAATGGAGGCATTTGGAGTGCCGATCCACATGCATTCACGGACATAAAGGTCATTCATGGTAATGGAAGGCTCTTACACTACTTCTCGAGCATCTCACAGCGGTACATCTAGTTGGACACTTACACTGTAAAAGTACAGATGATTTACTTTTCAAAAGGTGGAGAGTTGCAAGCACTGTTTAGATCCACCAACTCTCACCAATCTTCTATATCTAAATAGAATCTAAATATGTATTCTTTTAAATACGTCAAATACATAATAACAACACGGTCAGGTTAATAAAATCCAATCCAATCCACTTTATTTTTTATGTAGCACATTTTATAAAAAAAAAAAAAGTTTCCAAAGTGCTGCACAGAGAAAAAATCCACACATTTTAATATGTACAAAGTAAAAAAAAATACAAATGTAATAAAAACAATAAAACACCAGTTAACAATAAACATGTGAAAGAAACAATAAAATACTAGTTATCTGATTGGAAAAAAATATATATTAATAAAAACAATAAAACAAATAAAACAACACAAATAAAAAGTGGACCACACAATTCATGCTGTGTTAAAAGCCAGAGAGTAAAAATGCGTCTGAAGACCAACATTCCAATGAGGGAGCTGTTTGATATGGGGGGGGCAGAGCGTTCCACAGAAATACAAAAGTGACTGACATTGCCTTTAACATGGCAAGACGCATCTACCACAGACAGAACAATGTTTTGTAAGTTATTTGTATGTTATTTTCCACGATACTCAGATGTGTAAAAATCTGGTCAACCTTAATTAACTTTACTCATTTGGTGTTCTATTTAGGTATTGGTTCGGCCAGGGTTTGTGTATCTTCCCATTTTCTCTGATAGCAACATAACTCAATAAGTTATAAGTAGATTCAATACATTTTTCAGGAAACCTCTGAGATGAGCGCAAACCTCCACCAAGAGGCGCAGTTCCAGTTAAAAATATAACAATAAAATATGGTTCTGCACAGAAGGGGAGATGGCTGACATCGGACTGTTGTTGGGCTGCGATAGTGACATGTCTGAACACAGGTTTAGATTGTGTGTTGTCTGCAGGTATGTCGGTGCCCCACAGCAGACTGAGCGGAGAAGAAGGAGGCAGTGTCTCGGTTGAGTGCTTATACAGTGAAAAATACAGGTATTTACTCACATGACTGTGTATTTAAAGTAACATATCCGTCAGAAGTTTTGGATTGACAATCTTCTTTGCCCGCGCTGTGACAGAGAGAGCCCAAAGAAGTGGTGCCGCAGCGGGGACTGGAGCTCCTGTCTGCACACAGACTCTGAAGGCGTGCACTCAGACGGCTCAGTGGACATAAAAGACGACAGAACTGGGGCATTTACTGTGACCTATAAGAGGCTCCAGGTGAGGGACATGGGCTGGTACTGGTGTGGAGCCGGATCACAGAAGGTCGCGGTGCACCTCCAGGTCCTGCGTCGGGCCACCACTAGTAAGTCCTCTGTCGCTTACTACAGTATATGTGGATTATACTATCTACATGTATTCTGGAAATGTGATTGGGAATAAGAATGGTCCATGTTCAGCTTGTTTTAAGAACTAATTTTCTGCAAACAAAAGTGGCTTTGAGAAAAGTACTAACCTTTGGATGAATAAATGTGACTATTTACTTTTCCAGCAGTCAACAGCACTATATTTAAAAGGCAACACAAAGTGGAAAGAACTTCTGTTCATATTGACATAAAAATATACGTTATCAGAACCATGTCATGTGATTAATATGAAAATCAGTATTGATTATATTGTGAAAAAAATAAAAAATAAAAACAAGCTGAGGTACAAACCTAGTTTTTGGCTTGACATCTTTAGATGTTTTTTTTTCTGTCAGAAAAGTGAAAATGAGAGGACCTCCCACACTCAGCCAATCAGCTCTCAGCCCAAAGTGTCAAGTATGTAAGATCGGCCGTCTAAGATAAAGAGAGTCTTAATTCTTGTGTTTATTTCTTTGGCCACAAATGTCTTTCTGCTTAGGCAAACAAAATGTATTCAATTCAATTTAATTCAACTTTATTACAGACTCTAGGTACAATTTAAAACATACAGACACAAGAATTATTTATGAAAAGTTTTTTATTAATTTGTCAAGAACGTTTCATATTGTCTTATTATTTAAATTATTTCCATGAGATTATATTATAAATGTATAAGACCAGGACAGTTTTGTATTGTATAACATTTAGCAGTAATTTATACATTTTCATAGTAACTTTGCTCCAGCCAGAAGCACAACTCATACTGTGGGTACTCTGTGCTGCTAAAGTTGGTGGATCTGTCTCTCCCACATTGTTTACTCCCAGTGTGTGTGAACCTCCTGAGTTGTGTTGTTCTGCTGCAGTGATGCCTGTCACAACTTCATCCACTGAAAGTGTGCCTCAGCCCATCACCAGCACATCCTGGAACACTCAAAGGTAAATATGCTGCATAGTCACACGGGACAATATTCACCCATTTGCATTTCTCTTCTTCAGTAAATTAGATTCTTTGCCACTTGCACATTACCCATAATGCTTTACGCCTTGGGGGGCAGCACACATACAGCTGTATATGATGTTCACTAAAAAAGATAAATGCGTGTTGTCTGGTGGAGTGGAATACTTTTCAGTGTTCTGTCAAATGTTAGTTCCAGGCTGATTTTTTGATTGCTGGAGGAATGAAGGGAACAGCAGCAGTAGTTTATTCTTTGGCAGTAGTTGTACTCACAATCAAAACAAAGGCGTTGATTAATTCATCATCTACAGCGTGCTCCCAGGACACCATGAAAGCGTGAATGCATTATAGTATTGTCGTAAATGCAACTGAGCAACCAGTTTATAGGTTCAATATTTTTGCTCAGAGTTTATGATGAATTCCTCTCTGCTTCCACAACTAGCAATCTGGGAAAACATGAATAATCCAAATTAGATAATAGCTAGAAATATTTTCATTCAATTATGTTTTCATGAGATAAATGTTGAGGAGATATTGAGGTGATTATAGGGAGGAGGAGGGCTGCAGCATGAGCAGAAAGCTGTTAGATGAATCAAAGCACAAGTTAACTGTGGATTTGTATTGCGTAACAAACTGTATATGGCGGGGGAGATAGTTCCATCCTGTAGACAACAGCCCTGATCTAATATTCTAGCTTTATTTGTTTCATTTTTAAACTTGATTTGACAAGGAGAACTATGCCTTTAGATATGAATGATAGCTACCTTTTCATACATATTTTAAGTATCTTCATATTCACATGCGTTTGTCCTTTGAAAGTTTCAGTTAAACTCTGCCCTGGCTGCTGTTTACCATGGACGTTTCCTTATCTATCTTTATAATGGAGTTCAGGTGAAGTTCAACTGAGTGGCGTGCACACATAATGATGCTGCCATCTCACCAAGGCTTATCTATTTGTCATCATTTCGTGTGGAGTTTTGACTCAAGCTCCTCTTTAAACCTGTCTTTCAGTTATGTCCTGGGCTCCGCGCTGGTGTGTGCCTCTTTCCTGCTCATCCTGGGATTTGCCATATTTGCACGAAAGAAACTGCTCAGTAAGGACCTCTCAGTCTATTCTCACTGCATTTTAACCTTACAGGAGTAGAACCAGCCCCACAGGGAATATTGTACAGAAAATAATGGTACACTTGGGCTGCGCTGCGTGGCAATTTTTACTGCGTTATCAGCAAATGCGGTGTGTTCTAAGCTAAAGCTATCAGTATGCTGCTGATGCCTGATGGTTCAGATAAAATTGTGTATATCTACTTTTTACAAACAAATGGTGCTATAAATTAGAGTGATAAAATAAATACAAACTAAATACAATACTCAAACAATGACAATCAAATACATGATTAATTAATTGAATAACTTGAACCTATAGTATTGTAATTCCATCCATCCATCCATCCATTTTCTTCCCCTTAATCCATTTCTGGGTCGGGGGGGTGGCCAGAGATGCCACCCAGTCCACAGAGCACCAGCCCCTCACTGATCCTCCTGCAGGTGGTGAGTCCACAGGAGCTAGTATTGTAATTACTTTCCCTAAATCTTTTGTTCATTTCATCACAGTGAAAAAATAACATTAATTCTGGAGATGGGTGAGACTCCCAGGCAACACAAGGCTTTACTGAGTCGAGTTTGCATGTTCTCCCCATGTTTTTCAGGTGTTCTGGTTTCTCCTACCATGCACTAAAACACATTTACAATGAATACGGAGGAAACTGTGATGTAATTTGGGTATATTTAGCTTTTAATCAACACCGTCCCATTCAAACAACTGCAAAATCAGTACATTTCAACTGCATTCATCCAAGTATGTGTCTGTACGACCTCATGATAAGTACTTATGAAGCGAATTAAAATCAAATTGTTTGTTTTATTATCTTATATGATCATGGTAAACAGTCAGTAGATCTCAAAAGTAATGTTGAAGACGGACTAATTTCACCATTACACATCAGTATTGCGTGTCTTTTGTTGCAGAGAATGATCCTGATCCAAGACACGACGCGGAGATGAAAGTCAGATTCAATGTAAGTTCACTACATTTCCCTGTGTGACCTAAAAGTCCTCTTATTGCATTGACTCTTTCAGGACTATTCCGAGGAGGTGGGGGAGACGCAAACATCTGCTATAGTTTTCCTCAACAAGAATTCCCAGAGTTCATACATGCTTTGAGCAGAAAATATACTTTACATTTGTCGTCACAGTATTTTTGTGCTTTTATTACTTAAAATGTTTCAATCTTTTATAGTTAGTGTGTTTTTCGCAGCCACGTGACACAGCTCTTCAGGGTGATAGATAGATAGATAGATAGATAGATAGATAGATAGATAGATACTTTATTGATCCCCGTATAGGAGAAATTCAGCTGCCCATGTAGCAGCAAAAACAAAAAATAAAATTGATCGCTCTAAAAAGTTAAAAATAGCAACAGTCCTTCAGGTCACAGAGGAAGAGATGGAGTAGCCTCTGGGTGGAGCAGGACAGGTCACAAGGTGGAGTAGCCTCTTGGTTCGGACTATTTTCTCTGCTCTGGTCCAAAGTAAAATGCTAAATACTTCATTAGCATTTTTCAAAAAGTTAGCATTCCTCCAGTGGATTTTCACCTGATCCGCTTGGTTCGGAACACGAATCCTCTCCGCTCCGGTCTGGACCCGTGCAAAACCATGAACAGAGTACTGCACCAACATCTTAGGAAGAAAAAGGCAATAAAGATAAAAAATTAAAAAGCACAAAACAACAACTGTTTCAGAGCTACTTAGGACCTGCAGCCGTTCTCCAGCGCATTCAAAAGAATTCAATGAAGCGATGTGAGTGAAATTCCCTATGCCCTCCTTTCTTCATCGCGCCATGTCTTATTTTCCTAAACACGAGTCTGTTGTCAAAACTGCAGCTAATAATGGACTGAAACAATATGTGCCAACTGTAAATAGTATGTAAATATACAGTATATGTCACGGGCAGGAATAATCAGAATCACAAGTACCTTTTTCAAATCATAGTCTGTGAACAAATGACACACTTCAATTGGCTTTTGGTGTGATGCAACACAAAGAAATACATAGAACAACAACAAAAACAAAGAGATAGATGAGAACACATTTTACAGATCACATCTTTGACAGATTACACTCGTTGCAATATTTTCTAATGTGAATACTGTACTGTGATATATTCAGAATGTATCTTTTTCTATATACTTGTTTGCTGTCTGTGTGTGTGTTTTGATATTTATAAATTGCACTGTGTACCAATATGTTTAACCAATAAACTCAAGACTTACTATTATATATTTCTAAAAAAAATTGTAGCCACTATTCACACTTCGAAGTGAAGTCGAGTTAATCAATTACTTTTAATGGAATGACGTCAGAAATAACCCTGACAGTATTTGAATGGGACTATGTGTGAAAATCCGACAATATCATGTCTAATGCACAAAACAGAGAAAATGGCAATGCTTAGAGCTGTTCAGGAGTCAACACCACCCGGCTTATATTTCATGCTTGAAGTGCCTGGCCTCATTCTGAACCAAGTGAAGTGTTGGACTTGTAAATTGAATTGGCTAATGGGAGCGCTGTGTAGCCGTCACTCAACTTAAGCCTCCACATTTATAACCAAATCATGTTTTTTTCTGTTCTCTGTGAAAACCACCTACGCACTCTTACAACAAAAAAAGTTATAGAGGATTAATAGTGCATAATTTATGAGATGACATTTGGATTAATGCTACACAATCTTCTCTACGTCCTGCAAAATGGAGACGAAAAGAATTATATTGTCAATTACGCAGGAAAAGACTACACAGACAGGTGTTTGGAGGTCACATCACACATAAATGCCAAAATACCGCTGTGCTTCTTCAACCTACGCCACGTCAATCAGCCACTATTGACAAAAAAAGTTGTACCTTTTAGGACTCAAAAATGTCATAGAAAATTGGTCCCTGCTGTGATTTAAAAACAACAAAACATAATGCTCCTTTACTGCTGGGGGCAACGGAATACCGCTTATAACTCTAATGAATATCTATTATTATGCTTTAATATGATACAGATAATGGTTGAATTCTAACTATGATGATGTTTTACTCGGGGCGACTGTAGCTTAGTTGGTACAGCATTGGCCTTTGGGCTGGAAGGTCGTGGGTTCGAGCCCATCTCGGGACCTACTCCTCTAATGGTCTACTTTCGTTGTGTCATTGTGCAAGACACTTAACCCCACATTGCCTGAAGCTCCCGCTGAAACACCAAGGCTGTGGCACCACTGATGGAGCAGCCATCTTACTGTCTTACTATCACAACTATGCAGACGACACTCAGATCTATGTCTCACTGACTGCAGGAGAACATGGACCAGTGGACTCACTCCTTCACTGTATCCAACAGATCAGTGAGTGGATGCAAGACAACTTCCTTCAGCTAAACGCAGACAAAACTGAAATGATTGTCTTTGGTCCCCAGAAACAAAGAGAGAGCGTCATCTGTCACCTACAGTCTCTCTCCCTAAAACCTTCAAACCAGGTCAGAAATCTAGGGGTAATACTGGACTCAGACTTAAATGTTAATAGCCACATCAAATCAGTAACATGAGCAGCTTTTTACCATCTAAAAAACATTGCTGGGATCAAAAACATAGTGTCTAAAGCAGACCTGGAGATTCTTATCCATGCATTTGTCTCCAGTAGGTTAGACTACTGCAATGGCCTGCTCACAGGTCTGTCCAAACAGGCTGTAAAACAGCTGCAGTACATTCAAAATGCAGCAGCTCGTGTCCTGACTAGAACCAGGAAGTACGACCACATTAGTCCAGTCCTCAGGTCTCTGCACTGGCTTCCTGTGGCTCAGAGAACAGACTTTAAAACAGCTCTGCTTGTGTACAAGTCTCTCCATGGCCTTGCACCAAAATATATTAGTGACATGTTAGTCCCATATGAACCAGCCTGGACTCTGAGGAGCACAGGGACTGGACTCCTGTTAGTGCCCAGAGTCAGAACTAAACATGGGGCGGCTGCTTTTCAGATTCATGCTGCTATGTTTTACAGACAAAAATAAAATAATGAACGTGGAGAGAAAGTGGCTCAGTAGAGATTGGTCTTCGGGCCTAATAGTCGTGGCTTCCCTCATGATGAACTGATGTCTGCTGTCATTGTGTCCCTGGACTCCCTGCAAGAGGATCAGGGAGGGTGCTCTGAAGACTGGGTGACAATCTAATGGACTAATAAAGAAGATGAATATGAATTACGAACGAACGTGCAGTGAAACAGTGACAAGATAAACAAATACGGATTTTGTTCAACTCCCAATTCAGGCCACACACCAGCAGCTCAACCTTTTTCTATATGTATATTTTTCATTTCATTCCTGTCCACATATTGTGTAACCTTTCCTCGAGTCCAGTTTAGCTCCGTGTTGCCTGTGTTTCTGCGCCTCTGTCATTAATCTTTGTGCATTTTGGGCAGTGCTGTTTTGCCACTAGATGGAGGTCAACCTTGTATGAAATATGTTCACAGTCATTGCTGTTATATCCATTCATGCACATTGAATTATTCCGTGTCCCTGTGGAATAGAATGAGCTGGTTTGTTGGCCATTGTAATCACGTGTATATGTCAAATGTGCTTTTTATGAGCAGGCGGGAGTTGAACGAGTTTTTGCTGGAGAAAAAAATGAGAAGAACTGCTCCAAAGTAGATGCTATTTTGGTTATTATTTGCAGCAGTTATTATTATTTTGTATTCTGAGGACTATACTATTCTGTAATGTGGGAAATATCGTCTCAATGGAATCTTTTAGTGGGCATTGCAAGTCTGAACAACGGGAGACCGAATATTTCACAAAACATGTTTTTTGCTTGGTATTTTACAAATGTTAGTCTGTCATTATTTAACACAACATGTTCCTCTTAGTATTTTTGCTTATTTTTCATGAGTCACCGATAAGCTTCCGTCACATCCTGTTGTTTATGCTCTATATGCTTTATTTGCATAGTATGGCATCTATCATAATGCACATAATCCTAACAAATTGCAGAATCTACCAGAACCTACCAGTAGTTGTTTTTTTCACAGTGTGTATTTTCTCTTTGACACAATTCAACATAATGAAAATTGGTTTCCAGAACAGTTGGTGCAAATGGGCGGATTGGGTTTCAGAGCATATAATTATTTAATATTTGTCTTGAAACCATATCTTTTTTATTTCCTGGAGCTTTTCTTTTTGGCTGTTGAAAAAATCCCAAACCACTCAACGATTGGTTCTCACAGCATATTATAGCTCATAGCATAGCCTTAACTACTGGATTATAACCACATTTAAAGTTGAAGCTAACTAAAGTGAGCCCTTCATTCATTCATTTATTTATTTATTTATTTTCTAAGATAAGGTTTCTCAATATTATTTTTATTTGTGCAGATATTGTCAAATCTAGTCTAGCTCTCTTTATCATTATGTCCCAGTCAGGACACAGGAGCGAGAGAAGTGGCAAAAGTCCAACCTTATATCTCATTAAGAACCTTAGGACTTTTCAAGAAGACAGAAACTAGATTAGAAATGTGGCACTCCACATGTCATATGGCTCTGACCTGTGGGGTATGGAGGACCAAAAATGACTAAAGTATAAATAAATAAATAAATACAGGAATATATTAATAAATAAATTCATTTTGGACAATAAAAACTAAATATTTACATTGATGTGTTAAATATTACTATGAAATCAAATAAATATACTTTTATTTAGGTTATTTATCAAAATCTAAATTTTTTCCTTTATTTATTTATCCATTTATTGCATATATTTATTTATGTATTTCTACATTTCTTCATTTATTTATTTATGTATTTCTGTGTCGCTACATTTCTTCATTTATTTATTTATGTATTTCTACATTTCTTCATTTATTTATTTATGTATTTCTACATTTCTTCATTTATTTATTTATGTATTTCTACATTTCTTCATTTATTTATTTATGTATTTCTGTGTTGCCGTATGCTAAAGAGGCGGGCGGTGCTGAACTCAATCTAGAACAGGATTGGTGGGCAGTAGGTCAGCCAGGGCAACCAGACAGAAGCAAAGTTAAGCCTAGCGTACATCGACAGAGAAACTGGAGACAAGTTGCAAGGCGGCTTTTGGCGACTGAGAGGAGATGATGGAGATGGTCAGTTGAAATCGGT